TTTTCCCCCCCTTTCCCCCTTTTTTAAAAAACCCTCCCCCTTTTTTTGGGGGGTTTTTTTTTTTTTTTTTTTTTTTTTTTTTTTTTTTCCCCCCCCCCCCCCCCCTTTTTTTTCTCCCCCCCCCCTTCCTTTGGGGTTTAAAATGGGGGGGGGTTTTTCCCTCCCCTTTAAAAAACAAATTCTTCCCCCCCCTTTTTTTCCCCCTTGTTCCCCCTTTTATTCCCACCCCCCCCCCCTTTTCCCCCCTCTTTTTTTTTTATTTTTTTTTAATAATTTTTTACTTCTGCCCCCCCCTTCGGTTGCTTTTTTGGGGGCCTGGTTCCGGGGGGGGGGCATGGTTAGGGAGACAAGTGAGGGTGTTTGCGTCAAAGTAAAAAACTAATTCATACTGTCTGTAGTTTACGCGAGTAGTACACATTTTTAAAAAACACCTTTTCCGGTTTTTAACCCCATTTTTTTTTTTTTTTTTTTGGGGGGGGTTTTTTTTTCCCCCCCCCCCCCCCCCCCCCCCCCCCCCCCCCCCCCCCCCCCCGGCCCCCCCCCGGGGGGGGGGTTCCCCCCCCCCCCCCTTCTCTACCCCCTCCTCTCCCTTTTTTCCCCCCCTTCCCCCCCCTTTCTCCCCCCCCCCCCCCCCCCCCCCCCCCCCCCCCCCCCCCCCCCCCCCCCCCCCCCATGACCACAGCTGCTGCAACGCATCGGAAACGTCGGGCCGTAGTTAAAAATAATTTTCAAACAAGTTTAAGTAAAATATATCGCGTTTTAAACTGTTAAAGTGTTTTATTTAAATATATACTACTCGCGTAAGCTACGGACATTGTTTGAAAATATATTACAGACTAACCTTTAAAGAGCTGTTTAAAATAAATATAATAGATTCTACGGGGTGGCATTTTTTTAAATTATTTGACTTGACCAACTCCCGCGCAAGCCTAAACAAATACTTGAAATCTTTTCGTAAAGATCAAATTTTAACTTTTAACGGGAAATGTTGGTACAGGAAAGGAAGAAATAAGTTTAGTACGGTCTATTTTAGACAAAGTTAATTCATAACAATTATGCCGAATGAACGGGTTGGCAGTTAAATTATTCTAATAAATTTATGATTTTTCTGAATATGGAATATAAATATTAAGTTTGGTAGGGATATATAGGTAGAAATTCCGTCGGGTAGGAAATGTCCAAGATGAACCTGAAGTTCATCGCGTTTCGTTTTCATTATTTTCGAATATTCAAAGCAAAAGAAGGGCGACAGCGTTTCTTGTTTAGATGCTATAGGCTGGGGTATGTCTCTACTCATTGAGTGAGCCCCTCCTCCATCATTTAAAAAAAATATTAAAGCATGTTTTAAGGGCTCTGTAAGGTCTACAAACGGCACTCTAATACATTTCCTTTTCGCCACCAGACTCTATAAGAGTGGTGAGTCTATATAGGATCGTTAAATATATTGACGTAAAGTCGATTTTGACCCAGACCTCTCTTGAAACCGTGCTTTTTTAAAAGGGGGGGGGCATATTTTACCTTATTAAGTATGGTTTATCAGCATCCTGTTGAGTTAAAAATGTTAATACATTTTGAATGAATATTGATAGTCGAACGCAGACTGACGGGTCCAAGTAAATTGACCGACGACACACATTTCCTGGACAATTTTAGGAGGTACACTTCTTGACTGGTGTGAGACAAAGTTCGATTTGCGTGCGACAGCTATAAATATCAAATTCAAATAAAACGACGGTTTAAAACGCGATTTACATGAGTTCACTTATTTCTAATTCATTTTAACTTGAGATCCTATACTAAAAAGACCCAATCGCTTTCTCCAAATACCAACTACGACGAAACAGATGGCGCCAGCGCAGCAGATTTGACTTTTAATTAAAACCGTACAAACGGTTTAACCCGCGATATATATTAGTTAAAGCTTATTTACATGTTATTAACTACTTTGCTGAGCCTTTTTTTAAATTAACTGAAACGCTGAACGGGGATCGTCGAAAGTTTCGTTCTAAAACACTTGCCAACAAGATAACATACTAAGACATACTGTATACAGATGGAATTTAATTGCAAATAGCACAACACAGTTGTTATACAGTAACACGGATCATTGTACAACTATCGTATAAAGATATCCTTCATAAGTTGATAATAACAAAATAATTGTATGCGAAATGTTAAACATTGATAAGAGGTTCGGGGTCAGGGTTGTCTAAAAGGTGTCTAGAAGCCCAATGCACAGATAAAAATAATCGTCCTAAATTGCTTCACTATCAACAGGTTATCAAGGTTGACGAGGGCCCCGGTCTACCTAATCCTAGGGCTAAAGAATCGGGCCTTCATCCCCTCTTTCAGTCTAGCTTATATTAAATTCACCTCCAAAATTATAAATAGCAACAAGATTTAAATACGTTAAAAGAATTCTTTTACGCTTATATCTTTTCAAAGATGTGGTTAGAGGGCCTACAAATTTCGGGGCCCTGGTGCATTGCGCCACCTGGCCCTATGATAGCTACGCCACTGACTATCTATACTAATATTATAAGCGGAAGGGTTTTTTTGTTGTAGAAAAAGGGTGTGAGTTAATCTATAAACAATAGATATTTAAATAAAACACTTTAACGGTTTAAAACGCGATACATTCGCTTTTTAAACCGTTAAAGTAAGTTAAAGTTGTTTATTTAAATGCGTATTTCTCGCGTAAACTATAGACAGTATTTAAACAATAGATATACATGTAAAGTAGAGTATTTATTTGATATTCGGCCGTCCTACATTGAAGGTACAACTAAGACAAATAATTTTTCAATTCGATCCAGTAGTTCTTGAGATTAGCGTTCAAACAAACACTGTACATCTTATATTAGTATAGGTACCTATTATATTATGGTTGAAAAAAATTCTGTCTAACATTAGAGGTTAAGTATATTGTCAGATGGATCATAATTACATGAAAAAACCTTTTTCTGAGATGGAGAAATAAGTTTTCATTTGTTTTCAAAAGACAAGACAATGCGAGGTGCTGTAAGACGACTTTTTTTTTCAGATAACGAGATAATATTTATTGTTCTAGATTCTAAAAGACAAATTGTCTTCAACATCGTATCGTCTGAGAATTCGAACAGAAAACCACAAATTTTAATATTTTTTAAAGCCACTACATAACTTTTATTTATGATTTATTAATATTTGCCCGCCATAAATTAAACATTGAATTTGAACCAAGTGTCGTTCTTAGACAGCTTCACAGCTTAGACACTTGCGGCGCTAGATACAATGTTTTTTTGTCTTTTGGTACAAATAAACATTAAAAGTTAGAATGTTATTTTTAAGTAATCTATTCGTGATGTAAAAACGTGCAATATTTGCTCAGCCCTGTTCCACTTATATGACGTCATCAATTGTGCACTATGCCCTGCGTTTGACAGGTTTACCGACTGCGCACAAGCAAAGGTGTCACCGCATTACGAAGCTCGGCACTCACACATATTTTCACTAGGATTACCATGCACAAAAATTGTAGTCTTTATACATTTCTCTGTATTTTCTTTTATTCAAGATAAAAATCTATATTTCTATATTTTTTAATATTATAAATACGAAAGTAACTCTGTCTGTCTGTCCGGCTTTAACTCCGAAACTACTCAACTGATGAGCCTGAGAAAGGACATAGGCTACTCTTTAATTCCAAAAAAGGGTTGATGGGGCTTGAAAAGGGGGATAAAAGTTTGTATGAAAATTCGTGGTTTTTGAAGCTAAAACAATGAAACTTTCTTCTTTGGCTTTTTCGGAATAGGAGTGGGAGTGAAAGTGGGAATAAGAGTAGAAGTGATGTGAGGTGAGAGTGTTGCGGCAAAGTAGCACTTACAACATAAATTGGCTGCCTTAAATGCGCCCTTACATAAATTAATAAACAGCCTAAATAATTAAAAACTCTCTACGCGGACGAATTCGCGGACACATCTTGTAAAAAAGATATCAACGTCACATAAACACACAGACACCACTCTTTTATATATCAAACAAAATTTCTTTTCCTTATCTCCTCTTTATTAATTATAGTTCTATTACCCACTTTGTGTTGTTGTAAGATAATGTTCTATCTTATTAGACGAGAATTTGTCTTAATTATTTGTCTATCTAGAGAAATATCTCTATATAGACAAATAGTGTCGCTGACATTTTCTTAGAGACAAATCATTCCATTTAACACCCTTTTTTGACATCTTTTTCGCAGCACACGCAACGGACACCCTCAAAGATGGATAATTTTCTCCATTTTTTTCCCACTGTTTCTTTCCTCTTAACATCCTATGGTTACCGTACGATTTTCTGTAGGTTTATAGGTCACTAGGACATTGTAATAAAATGGTATGCAGGTTATCCGTGCCTATTAAAATTTATAAGCAACTTTAAGATATATATTCCTACCTTTTGCATTTAATAAATTATTCGTCAGTAGCTATTAGAATTATATTTCCTAAGTATTCAAATACTAATAGCAACCGTAATCTATTATTTACTTAAAAAATTGTCATTTCATTAAGCTAAAACATATTTCAAGATCTGAATCCTAAGGACGGCAGATTTTAATAAGGTCTGTATTTCATAAAAGTAATTATTATATTCGTGGGACGTGGGGCAAACACATGTCTGTGTCCGTTTCACTTAACCGTTCTTTAACAAGTAGTTGATCAAACTTCTGTACCCTGCCTGACCGAAACAATTAATTGGTTCCCTAGGATTCGAACCCGGGACCTCTCGCGCTTAATGCAATGCTAGGCAATACGTTTAATCATTTGGCTACAGAGGTGGTCAGAGGTTTATTGCAGCGCCATCTATTGGTTTATTTTAATATTATCTATGGCTAGCTCTGATTTTATACTAAAACTTTGTAATACCCATGTCTAACAAACGATGGCGCTGTAAAGTTCTGCAACGTTCCGTTTCACAAGTTTTTACAGTATTAAAATCCTTTTTATCAATTTTATACTTGTTTTAAAATGTGTGCTGTAAGTGACTTTTTATAACATGAAAAATTATTTTTGAATTGTTTTATTAAATGATGGTTACACTTTATTATTTTAATGTAAATGATTTATTTTAGTAATTTCCTGCTCTTGTGGGTGGTAACGGAACGCAAAATTCGCATGACAGGCGGCGCCAACTCGATCACAGCGATTTAGACCGATTCCTCAAATAAATGTAGATCTTGGGCTAAAATTTTAACAGAATTGAGTGAAGCACTGCCGTTCTCTATAAAGTGAAGTATTGTTTGTGGCCTATTTGTGCGTGAGATAAAAGCTATGTACTAAATAACCTACCAAAAATCGATACAGAATTCGTGTACTAGTGTCATGGGACTCGGCTTATGTAACACATTTATCTCAAAATAACTTTTAAATTACATCTGGCGGTTGTTTACCTAGCTACCCGAGGTAAGGGTGCTGTTCATATTTCGATTAATTTTGCGCTAACCTTGAATTTTTGTGGCATGCCTGACCTCCATCCTTTTTATCACTTATTAGATAATGCTGTAATTGTTGCTTAATTTTGTGCATATGCTTGTCAAATTGGAGATATGTCAAATGATCTTTATTCAAATAGTATTTTTTCTAAATGACATAAGCATGAGGTTTTATATTTTATTTTTTTATTGGGCTCAGAAGTTTAAATAACTAATTGTTAAACACTATCAGTAGTTTCCGCAAGTAGTACACATTTAAATAAAATACTAATGGTTTTAAACGGATATATATAGTCTTCTTGTGCTGCAAAGTATTCTAAACGTCGGGCCATAGTGAAAATAATTTTTTAATTCCTTTAACTAACAAATTATTTTAATAATAATAATAATAATTCTTTATAATATGTCAATAATTAATAATAATATGTCATATAAAAAATAATAACAATACTAATTAGTAGTAGTAGTAAATTATTTGAAAGTATTAAAATTTGTTAAAACAGAATTTGTCTGCTTTGAATAAAGTTGAAACAAAGTTTTAACATTTTCTGTTTTAACAGCTATGTTACCTTTAATATATATGATAATATATAACTTGTATGTATCATGCATTTATGAGGTGTTAACATGTTACAAACATAAAGTTAATATTAACATAAGGCAAGTATTGTATTTATTAATAAATAAGCTGATATAATATTTATTTAATATTTTGATGCCATGATCTGGTTTTATAACTATTTGTATAGATCCTGACTTGAGACTTAAATCTTGGGGAGCTTAAACAGTTTAAAACGCAATATATATTAGTTAAACTTATTTGAAAATTATTGTAACTAGTCTCCTCATGACTACGGTTGCTGCAAAGCTTCTAAAACGTTAGGCCGCATTTAAAATAAATGTCAAATTTGTTTAACTAATATTCATTTTTAAACCGTTAGTGTTTTAAATGTGTACTACTTGTGTAAAATACAGACAGTGAATTATCTAAAAAATACTAAGTAGTAACTAACTTTGAAATAACTTTATGTACTCGTACATGCTACTAAGTTACTTAAACATCCTATCGAGAAAATGTAGTTATCGTTTAGGCAAGTTAGATCAGTAAAAAAAATATTTTCCCGATTACCCTCTCATGCTTAGCAACACCAATGTTGGATGTAGTAGTAAAAGCTTACCTAGCATGTTATATAAGAATGTATTTCGATTAACGTTGCTTCAAATAAAACTAATGCCTCTTTAGCTCATTTGTATGCCAGATAATTAAACTGTGTGTTACACGTTTGGTCCAAGGTTTAAATGAGAGAAGAAGCAAGGTTGATGACATTTATGATAACAAAATTTACATTTATTAGTGATCATATGTATGGATATATGACATAATTAATCCTTTCATATTATCGTATTTTTAGATGTTTAGCTTTCGTTGTCTAAGCAAAGACTTTTAAATAAAACACATTTCAACTTTCTAAAACGTGAAACATATTGGTTGAATTTAAATAAAACACTTTAACGGTTTAAAACGCGATATATTAGTTAAACTTATTTGAAGTGTCTCCGTATTCCGATTTCCCGTCTCCGATCCGAAACGTCGGGCCGAAGTTCAAAATCAGTTTCAAATAAGTTTAACTAATATATCGCGTTTTAAACCGTTAAAGTGATTTATTTAAATGTGTACTACTCGCGTAAACTATAGACAGTATCGTATTGGTTAAACTTATTTAAAAATTATTGTAACTATTTAATTTGTAAATACTGTCTGTAGTTTATGCGAGTAGTACACAAGTACACACTTAATTCACTTTTCTGTTATCCAAATAAAACACTTAACGGTTTAAAACGCGATATATATTAGTTTAACTTATGTTAATTCTTTTAACTACGACCTGACGTTTCGGATGCTTTGCAGCAGCCGTAGTCACAAGGAGACTAGTTACAATAATTTTCAAAGAAGTTTAACTAATATATATCGCGTTTTAAACTGTTGAAGTGTTTTATTTAAATATTTAATTTGTAATAAAGTTTAATTCTGCGTCTTAAACCGTCAGAAGTGTTTTATTTAAATAACAGGCAAGTAACACAGTATTTAAGACTACTTATGTCTTTACTTAATTACGACAACTTGAAAATCAAAGTAGCTTAATAAAATGGCAAAAGTCTTACGTAATTTAATATTTGATTGCATTTATTATTTAAATATATGAATTTTAGGCTAATGCAATATACCTAACAGTAATTAGCTAAGAAGTAAATTAATATTTTAATAGCACAAAAATGATTTCTTTAATGACAAGGCTGTCTGGCAGTGATATGAATTGCTCCTAAGGTTAATAAATTCACAAAAATGTATTAACTTATAAGGCATATTGAAAACAGCCGGCCTGAGTTTCTTGGGCGTTCTTCTCAGTCATATTGCTCTGGAGAATCACAACAAACAGACAGACAGACAAAACATTTCATTTTTGTTTTGAAAAATCTAAATAATTTTTAAATTTTATGAAGGATAAAGTTTATTTTATTTATGAAGAAGAACAATAAAATAAGTAATTATTGACATTAAAAATATTTCTTCCATGCTATCATGACGAGTCAAGTGGCAATGATAAGATTGTGCCTTTATTTAAAAATTTAACTTTAATATGCAGTTTATTGTCTCTAGTCTCAAAGTACAGTTAAGAATATGAAACGAAAACTATATTATACAAGAGATTAGATAAAAGTTAATTTATAAACATATGTTTTACTACCTGTCCCTCTACTGTGTTGTAGCAAAAACTTATAAACCAAAAATTAATTCTTTTAAATAACAATTCTCCTTAATTTACATATATTAAAATACTGTCTATATGTACCGAGTATACACATTTAATAAAACACTTTAACTTTAAAACATATATTAGTTAAACTTATTTGAAAATGATTTTTAACTTGCTTGACGTTTCGGATGCTTTCACACGTGGTACGGAGACACACAATTCGCGTTTTAAACCGTTAAAGTGTTTTATTTAAATATATTAAAATATCAAATGCTTATCAGTCTGTCTCACAGAGAATAGTAGAGTTTTGCTAAAGACCAGTGTTGTAGCATAATGCTGCAACTTATACGGGTCTTCCCCTTTTGGCATCACTTTTAATCAAATTATAGGTATTTAATCTTGTATATATATTTTTTGTAATTACATTTATTTCTAATACTACTACTATGTATATACTAAATACCAAATAAAGAGATTTATTATTATTACATTACTTTAATACCTAAATGTAGTTTCAAAAATATGGGATCTTGATATCTGACATTTTTGTCACAACTTTCTAATATAGTCGGTCTTAACTCTTTCCAACCTTTTACATTTGGAACGGTTTAGAAGTTTCTGAGTTTAAATAAAACACTTTAACGGTTTAAAACGGATATATTAGTTAAACTTGTCGTGGTCACGGCTGCTGCAAAGCCGAAACGTCGGGCCGAAGTTAAAAATATTTCCAAATAAGTTTAACTAATATATCGCGTTTTAAACCGTTAAAGTGTTCTATTTAAATGTGCACTACTCGCGTAAACTATAGACAATATTTAAGTTTCTGAGTATTAATTATTCCTTTAAAGATACAGGGTACATTCTTCAGTATAGACTGGTAGCTCTCACATAATGCTCAGCCCTTTCTGGTGTATTATAATATTGTTGTTAATAAGACAATTTTACATTCCAGGGTAAATCCACAATCATGTTGCGTCGTTGTTCAAGACATCTCCAGACCATATACCGGCGGCAGAGCCAAGCCGTCCGGTTCAGGTCAACCGAAGTGCCCAAGGTCTATGGAGCTATCCACAGAGCCGCTCTCAAGGCACGAGTGGTGACCCACAACCAAGTTGCCTCTATACATTTCACGAATCCGCTGATGGCGGAGCAAGATGTTGCCACACCCAGTTTTCCGGATTCCGTCTCGGAAGGTGACGTCAAACTGGACAAGAAAGTTGGAGATGCTGTGGCAGCAGATGAGGTCGTGCTAGAAATCGAAACGGACAAAACGGCCATACCTGTAATGGCCCCAGACAACGGTATTATTAAGGAGTTTTATGTCAATGATGGGGATACTGTAAAAGCTGGACAGAAGCTGTTCAGGCTCGAAATTACCAGCGGTGCACCCAAGAAGGAAGCACCAGCTGAGGCTAAACCTGAACCTAAAACGGAAGCGGCCCCACCTCCTGCTCTGCTGCCGCTGCTCCCCCTCCACCACCACCCCCACAGGCCCCTCCAGCGACACCGCCTCCCCAAGCTCCAAAGCCGCAAACTCCTCCCCCCGCAAGCTTCCAAAGCAGGCGCACCTATCTCATCTATACCCGTAGCAGCTATACGTCACGCGCAAGCGATTGAGACTGCCTCAGTCAAAGTACCCCCAGCGGACTATAGCAAGGAAATCGTTGGCACTCGCAGCGAACAACGCGTCAAAATGAATAGAATGAGGCAGCGGATCGCTGAACGTCTGAAGCAGGCGCAAGACACCAACGCGCTTCTGACCACCTTCAACGAGGTGGACATGTCGCACATCATGGCGTTTAGGAAGAAGAACCTGGAGGCGTTTACCAAGAAGTTCGGTGTGAAGCTCGGACTGATGTCGCCGTTCGTGAAGGCGGCGGCCAGCGCTCTTATGGACCAACCGGTGGTCAACGCTGTTATAGATGGAAATGAAATAGTCTACCGCGATTACGTAGACATATCAGTCGCCGTAGCGACGCCAAAGGGCTTGGTCGTTCCCGTGATAAGGAACGCGCAGAATATGACGTACGCAGACATCGAGCTTACAGTCGCCAACTTAGCTGAAAGGGCGAAGTCAGGAAAGCTGACAATTGAGGAGATGGACGGTGGTACCTTCACGATAAGCAACGGTGGTGTGTTCGGGTCGTTGATGGGTACTCCGATTGTCAACCCTCCACAATCTGGTATCCTGGGGATGCACGGGATCTTCGAGAGGCCGATCGCCCTGAACGGCCAAGTAGTTATTCGACCGATGATGTACATAGCTCTTACATACGACCACAGATTAATTGATGGTCGTGAAGCGGTGCTATTCTTGAGGAAGATCAAGCAGGGGGTGGAAGACCCGGCCTCTATTATCGCTGGTTTGTAAGTTAAATAGGAATTTTCATGCCTCGTATAAAGAATCCTGTTTTCGATTACATTTTTTGTATTATGTAAATACAAGATCGATGATTTATAACCTATAATTGATTAAATAAATTAAAATCTTATCTAGGGGCATGAAAATTTTCAAGAACTAAACACAAGAACAAGTCGAAACGCAGAAACAGCTGTTACCAGAACGTTACCGTGAGTTCTAAAACGTGTAAACCTTAATTAGAACTCATTTTAACGGTTCAATTGATGCGAATAGTGTGAAATCATGTTTAATAGATGCCTGAAAGTGTTGCTCATTCTCACTGAAAATTGTATTCTGAAATTCATGTTAATATTTGATGTCGGTTAATTAATCCTCTGTTAAAATGTGCTTGAGAAAAGCGCCATCTATCGTTTTAATAATACAACTTTGCTTCTACATTGCCTTTGCACATGTAATGTTAGAGCTATTTTGTTATCTGTGGTTACAATTTATTTATTCTTAATACACTTTCAGTGGGAAAGAGCCCGAGTATTTATTTACGTCCGTTTGCGTATTATATTATTTATCGTGTAATAAGTTACAAATAAATTATCTCTATCAGATTCGATGCTTTTATTTCACACGTCAATTAAAGCCGCTAGAAGCAGAGTATCTCAACTCAAATTTTATAACTTGAATTAATTAATATCGTTATAGCCTAAAAAAATGGTATCTCAAAAGCACAAGGACCGAAGATTGTTAATATAATTCTTATACAAATAATATTACAAATTTATTTTCGCCTCAGTTGTTTTCAATTTTATATTCCTCCTTATTGAAAATCATTTTTATTGTTATTAAGTCTCCGTGCCTCTAGCAGCCTTAATTTATCTAAGTGTCAAAATTCATTTATTTATAAATAAATAAAATAAAAAGCCTTTTATTTGCTGTGTCACACTAAACTAATAAAAAATCTTACATATACCGCAATTAACCGCCTCTGTAGCTTAGTTAAACGTCCAGGATTCGAATCCCCGTGAAACAATAAATTGTGTCGGTCGGGCAGAACATAAAAGTCTTCAGCTACTTCCCAGCGACCAGTGAAACGGCTACGGAAATGTTCGCCCCATGCCCCACGAGGTGAATCGGGTTTTCACTACTTACAAAGAAAAAAATTATATACGTGATTCAAAGACCCAACGCAGGTATGTACTAGGTACTATTTAAATAAAACACTAACGGTTTAAAAAGCGATATATTTACTACGGCGCGTTTCGTAAACGTCAGGCCGTTGTTAAAAATCATTTACAAAGAAGTTTAACTAAAATATATCGCGTTTTAAACCGTTAAAGTGTTTTATTTAAATGTGTACTACTCGCGTAAGCTACAGACGGTATTTAGTAGATACTGGTTAGAGATTTGCCTTATGAAACGATGATTGACTTCTATAAACATATACTTCTACAATTTCAATTACAAAAACCCATCATATTTGATTATAGTGAACCATAAAACCACCAAATACGTTTGCATATTAAATATTATCATTAAAATGTTCTTAAAGCCGACGTTGTGTCTTATATGTTGTAAGTATAAAGATTTTTAAATAAAACACTTTAACGGTTAAAAACGCAATATATATGTTAAACTGATTTTTTTTTCAAATCAGTTTAACTAATATATCGCGTTTTAAACCGTTAAAGTGTTTTATTTAAATGTGTACTACTCTCGTAAACTATAGACAGTATTTAGTATAAAGATTTTCTAGTTAGGTACTTTGTTCTGAATTCTTTGTATCTATGTAGCAAATCTTTGTCTATGTTGACAAGTAGACTTATCGTCATTCCTCTACAATATATATCATGTACTAACTGTGTCAGCGACTTCGTCCGCGAATAGATTTTTTCGGACATCGAAATTTTGTTTTTTGGAAAACTCCAGTTCAACTCTATAAATTTAACCTGTTACCCACGACGTCGTCCGCGTTCTTACAATCGGATCTTATAGGTACTGGAACTGACATTTATTTGGACCATTTAACGAGAAATTTGGGGTCCCCAAAAAAAAATTTTTAATCATTTCGCAGCATACGCAACGAAATCCCAACACAAAAGATGACTAGTGTTTCCCGATTTTTACATATTTCGTAGCGCGTTGATGTTTCATAGAACACGCGTAATACCTTCAGCGATAAAGGCCTACACAACACTGAAAATATATTCTTCAATTAGAAACAGTAGGCCTGACGCGTAATACAAACAAACTCTTCAGTTTTATATATTAGTATGGATAATTCTTCTGAACAATCGGGGAGTTAACATCTCCTAATGATGCCGTCCGCACGTGATGGCGAAACGTCGAGAACCTCTTCTCGCTCACGTCGGCCGAACAGCCCGAAAGACAATGATATGCTGAACGATGGCCGTTTTCCGGCTTTTCCGCCGCTCCCCTTTGGCCCGGCCCGAAAGCCTTACACAATTTATTAGTATGGATTATTTGACGGTCTCGTCAAGCCACTCTGTAATGTGTCGTTCATTTTCCCTTTGTTTCCCTCAACATGTCCTCTCACCTTTTACGCAAATGCAGAGACAAGCCAAATAGTAAAATCCAATTTTTCCAGGTTTACTAATTGTGGCATTACACGGATTCCCTGATGGAGGCTCTGGGAGGAAGTCATTTATATTGTCGAAGAAGACATTGAGAGCGCTAAAACCCGGTTTCGATCAACGTCGCTTAGTAAATTTCAAACATTATCCATCGATTTTTAAGAAATAAACAGTAATAAAAATGTTTGTATTTCATTGATATAATTAATCTATAGTAATATAAACGCTGAAGAGTTTGTTTGTTTGAACGCGCTAATCTCAGGAAGTATAGGTTTGAATTGAATAATAATTCATATTTGTGTTGGTTAGAGCGTTTAACGAGGAAGGCTATAGGCATTTGTCATCTCTGTTAGTCTACCTGCGAAAACAATAATAATATATAATAATAATAATGAGTTAACAATGATAATGATGGTTTAACGTATTGCCTAGCATTGCGTTAAGCGCGGAAGGTCCTGGGTTCGAATCCCAGGGAAACATAAAATTGTTTTGGTCGGGAGGGAACAGAAGTCTGTACCCTACCGGACCAAAGGTTGCCCCATGCCCCGCGAGGGGGGAAACGGGCTTTCACGCAAATAATAATGAGTCGGTCAACATAAAACTGAAACTGACTGATCTAAATATTTAATTTTCACGTACCTAAAACTTTTTAAAAGGGCCTTTCACTTAAACCATATATTAGATGTTTAATAAACTTAATTCCTTGAATAACATACAAATTAATGGTAAAGAGTGTGTTTCTCTTCGAAATGTTAATTTTCGGGAATTGAATTCAGGCCCTGTCGTGCTTAGCGCGTTGCTAGGCAACGCAAATAACCATACAGCCATAGAGGCTTAACATAAATAAAAGAAACAAAAATAAATTTTATATTCTTTAATTAACCAATTTGTTTTAACAAGCAAATCAATTAATTTAGTTTCTGAACACTAACAAGTACCACGAAGGTATTCTAGAATCACCAGTACAAATGGACGTTTTGTTCCAAATATGTTTGGTAATTTAATCATTTTAATTGACAGGACTAAGTATTAAACACAATTCCCTTTTCGGCATCATTTAATGAAGAATAATTCTTCTGTGCATATTTTTGTGTACCGTTTTAGCAACTCACGCAATGGAAGCACTCAAAGACGAGAGTTTTTCCAGATGTACCTCTGTTCCTTCCCTCCTATTTGGCGCAGCCTGATTTTTTACAGCATACGGCCTCGACAAATGCTAGACCATTTATCGAGGTCCACACGAGTACCAACAAAAAATTGATTTTTACACATTTACAGTTTTGGTTTCTTGAACCGTTTTCGCAACGCACTTTTTCTCTGTTTTGATTTCTGTTTCTCATTGATTGAGAAATTTTCATGTAATCTATCCAACCCAGACTCTTTTTAATTTGAACCAGTTGTTCCTAAGATTGGTGCGTCCACACAAACAAACTCTTTGTCTTTATAAAATTAATATGGATTTGTAATTGTGTATATTTCAAAATAAATATATGTATTATACACAATTTATTTTTTTAGATCTCATTGGTGTTTCGCCCAACGACAGCCAACAACGCAGATGTATCTTCTTTCCAATTAGTAAGTATTCATTTAAATTAAACACTTTAACGGTTTAAAACACGATATATTATCAACTTATTTAAAAATCATTTTGACTACGGCCCGACGTTTCGGACCGTACCGTTAGTTTTTTATTTAAATGTATTCTACTCGCGTAATATACAGACAGTATTTAGTAAGTCTTCGTTATCCGTCTTTAATACTTCCCACCGCTGAGATTTGGGCCTCCTTACAGGAAATAGGCCTGCGTTTTGATAGATGACGCCAAACTTCATAGAACTACTACACAAAGATTTTGTATGACAGAAGAAGGCAGATAAACATGGGGTTCTCATGATGGAAGGTGAAATACTCCAGCCATATATAATCTAAGCAAGATGTGCTGTCGATCTATTTTTGCTTTTGACCTGCTATTTTAAACATCAATACATTTTTTTATATAGTCTACGCAGCGCTTGTCAAATATCTACTTAAATGCCTTAACGTTCGTATTTCAAACCGTTAAAAATGTTTTATAAAATAAAACTCGCATAGACTACAGACAGAGGTAGTTCGATAAGTAATTACTTATAGGACTACCCTGGTATTGTCTGTCCTACTTCGAACTTGCTACTAATACCCTCGTACTTGTATATACAATATGATTATTTTATTTCTCTTTACAGATAAACATATGCACATAGCGTTCATAATATAATAGTTATATATCTGCTTTGTTTTAGCTTGCAAGGTTATCATTCCCGACTGTGGAAACTGTGAGTTATTAATTTTATTTTGGTTGCGTACACATAATAGGACATTATTATTGTTTTTTTTTTAACCAGGAATCAAAGAGAAGGGTCACAAGTGTTTTTACGCAATTCTTAGGGTACCCCTATCTAAATAAAATTCTGTGCTATTTCTCTATAACCATTGAGTTATCGTGGTCTCGTTCGACCCGGGTCATTTTTTTTTACAATATAGGTAGAATTCAATAGTGACAGGAGGTTTTTTATTTATTATAAAACGTGAGCGTGGAAACTGGAATTAGTTTATGAACAAATAGACGATCCGGCAATCGTCGTTTTGCTATTTGCAAGATTAATATTATTATGTCCTTTTGCTTAGATCATTTAACGAGAAATCATTCTTTCGTATACCTATACTTTTAGTTTCTTGAACCGTTTTCGCAGCGTACGCAACAGAAGCTCTCAAAAATGAATGGTTATCCCGATTTTTCCACATTTCCCACGTTTTCTTCTCTCATATTGGTCACAGCGTGATCTTATAATATATTATTATAAACTAACCCATCCTCGATAAATGGTCTATCCAACCCACATTTTTTCAATTCGAATACTTGTTCCTGAGGTTAGCGCGTTCAAACAAATAAACAAACTATATGATATTCCTATAGATTATTATTAATTTGAGTATCACGTATTGTAGAAGTGACATATCTTAAAATTTGAATATTTTAGAAACCGTACAACATGCCGAGCGCAAAGGAGATCGATCCACGCCACAGTTATGCTGAGGAGAAGTTTGACAACCTCCTCAAGTACACCACCTATATGAATGCCAGGATAAAGGAGCCACATAATCCAGTAAGATATATCACCTTTAGAGCAAGACCATGCTATAATAATATGTGTTTGCGTGTGTGTGAGTCGTTGCATGACTATGGGAAAGTGTGTGTTTATGAGAGGATGTTTGTGAGAGAGAGAGAAAGTGAGTGAGGGTGTGTTTATGAGAGTATGTTTGTGTGTGAGAGATAGATAAAGTGATGGTGTGTTTATAAGCGTGTGACCGGGAGAGAGGCAGAGAGTGTGAGTGTGTGAAAAAGTGATAAGTACGAAGATACTTCAAACTTCAGATTACAGGTATAGATTTTATGCCGGTTTCAGTGGATACATTACAATCAAATCGTCTTAAATACTGTCTAATTATGCGAGTAGTACACATTTAAATAAAACACTTTAACGGTTTAAAACGCGATATATTAGTTAAATTTATTTGAAAATGATTTTTAACTTCGGCCCGACGTTTCGGATGCTTTGTAGCAGCCTTGGTCACGGGGAGACTTCGTCGGGCCGAAGTTAAAAATAATTTTCAAATAAGTTTAACTAATATATCGCGTTTTAAATCGTTAAAGTGTTTTATTTAAACAAATCGTCTTTGTTTTAGTATTCTTGATATGACTTAAAAGGAATCTGAAATTCAGTATCTGAAATTTCGAGCCGTAGTTAAAATAATTCAACATTAAAATAAGTTTAACTAATATATACCGCGTTTTAAACCGGTATTTAACACGCGTGTACTACTCGCGTAAACTAAGGATAGTAATTTGTAATATCGTTTTGCAGACCGAGCGACGCGAAATTCTAGAAACTTCTCAGAAGAAGCTCTTCAGCTTCATAGACACCCATTTGAAGGATCTGAAGAGGTTACTCTTCGCGACGGACATGGCACTGATGTCCATGGTTCTCCTAAAACTCAACAAGAAGATGGACACTTCTGAAGCCAAGATTAAATCGACACAAGCGAAGATACCTTTCGGATTGTACACAAGTCCTGGTATGCCTTTTTATGATAGCATAAAACATCTAAATAACGTGTGCTGTCGTTTTTTTTGTCTTTGAATATTTTGAATTTAAGTAAGTTCGCGATTTTACCACTAAGTTTACATTGATTTTAAATAACGCACTTTGCCGCACAGTATTCTGTATTTAAAGTTATAAAGCTATCTCAAATTGTTCATTCATGTAAATTAATAAAAGTCCTAAAAAAATTAACGAATATGGACATATTAAAATTTCATAAGTTCGACATTTACATAAAAATGGGATGTAAGCTAAATCAACGACAATGGGAGGTAGGAGTCTGAATCATGCGCAAACACGGAAAAGCGTTTTTTTGGCCAATTCCATGTAATTGTTTAACATCGTGTTAAACATTACATGGAAATGGCAAAAAAAAATGGCCGTCATAAAAGTGATTTTGAATATTAAGGTCGTTTGGTTCATATAATCGATATATCTTTAACCCTGTCTTACGTCTGGTAACGATAACACTAGAAAAGGGTATCACTATTTCTCTATGGTTTGAAATCGGCCCTATTTGTTGCCTTTTGCCAAGTTAAGAAAAATACAGTATTTTTACTTTTGTTGTTTTTTATAGAATTCAAATGCCTTGGAACATCCTACTACGTTGCGTCTGCGCATAATCAAGAGGATGTTCAAATGATTTTGTCAAGCGAAAGAAAACCTCACTGCTATACTTTTAGAGGTATCTCTATCATTAAATACCTTATACATTTTTTAAAATCCTTTTTACACTGAAAAAAGTTTACGATACGGATCCACACTGTTCCGTGTTGTTGCTATAACTAATTGAGTTACCGTGTCCCTGAATTGCATGTCAACGTGCGCTGCGATAACGGTTCAAGAAACCAAATATTGTCCTGGATGTTATATGTCTATCATTTAGATTTACTCGCAAGAACGACGTGACGCGGACGACGTCGTGGGTAACAGCATAATTTTAGAGTTGAAGAGGAGGTTTGCAAAAACACATTTTAATGCCCAAACTAACAATTCTACGCGGAGGAAGTCACTGACACAGCTAGTAACTTATAAAGGAGATTGAGTTTAAAACTATTATGCCCAAAATAATTATACTACGGGGACGAAATCGCGGGCACAGTATTATATAAGCGGCGACGAATCATATCGTACATTTAATTTATAAACGTGGTTTGACATTGGTAGGAGCGTTCGCGTTTTCCGGTTTCTACCATCGGCATTCGGAAACCACGTACGTCGGGCCTCATGCTGAGCAGTTCCAGGCGAAGGATCCGAGCCAGGGTCTCTACTGCCATTCAGATGACAACTGGAGCGACGCGCAATGTATCTACAAGTAATTTTTGGATCACATCTAGACACAGTTGAAGTCATCCACATACTGCTCATAAGCAATCTATAGTGTATTTTTTCTAACTTGGCTAAAGATCACAACAAATATGGCCGAATACAAACCACTCAGATTTATAGATGCCCTGTCGATTGCTTCATATATTATGGATATATATCCATAATATATGAAGCAATCGACATCAACATTCAAAATCACTTTTATGACGACTTTTTTTATGTAATTATTTAAATAATACAAGTTAAATACTCAGCGCTTGTAGCGCTATCAGCGATCGTGCATGAGTGAGTCCTCTACCTTCTATTGTCGTTGTCTTTGCTTACATCCCATCCCTGTGTAAATTTCAAAGAAATTTATATCTTTCCATCTACGTAAATTAATATTTAGGAATCCTAGTATTTTGGCATGAATTTATGGTATTTACTAAGTGAATTTGAGGTTTTATGTAAATTGTGTGTTTGTTTTAATAATATCAAGTTAGAAAATACAGACTAGAAAACCTCCCAGTATAAATTAATAATCGAAAAAAATATACGACACAAACGAGACTTGAACCGGCATCTACAGCGTCACGTGCTGTTGCTCTAACCAATTGACCTACCGTGTCCTCGTCATCGTCGATTTTTTTTAACCCATTGATACTACACACAGATGTCGATGCCGGTTCAAGTCTTGCCCGTATCGTAAAACTGTAAAATTTAAAATCGTTTTTTAATTAGTCAAGAATTAAATACTGTCTGTAGTTTACGCGAGCAATACACATTAAAACACTTTAGTTTAAAACGCGACATATAATTAACTTATTTGATAATTATTATAACTTTTAAATAAGACACTTTTACGGTTTAAAACGTTTCAAAGCTTTGCGTCAGTCTCCCCGTGACCACGGCTGCTGCAAAGCATCCGAAACGTCGGGCCGAAGTTAAAAAATCATTTTCAAATAAGTTTAACTAATGTATCGCGTTTTAAACCGTTAAACTATTTTATTTAAGTGTTTACTACTCGCGTAAACTATAGACAGTATTTAATTATTATAACTACTGCCTCGAAGCTGTCACGAATTATTCAATCTAATCTTCTAGAGAAATACTTTTCCCAACAGGATAAACCCCAGAGAGGAGTTCCCGGAATCGGTAGAATATGAGCCCAAGGTCTCATACTGGTGTGGTCCATACCGCTACTTCATACCAGCTACTACGGACATCAGATGCATTTTCTCCATATTTTCTATGAATTTTATCTTGAGGTTCGGATATGACGGCGTGACGTATAAAAGTTCGGACTTGTCTTTCGTAAGTTTTCAACGAGTGTCTTATGTTTTAATGGTATATCGACGCCCCCGAGCAATAACCCAGTAATACACATTATATATAACACTATGGCTATTTGTTAAAGTTGTATTCGCATGGAACTTCAATTTGATGTTTACAATATACCTATTAGACATACAAAATGATTGATTTCGCATACCACTTCCTCTTTATTAATTTAAGCTATAATCCACGACATCGGCTGCGTCCCGTCGTGGTAGGTAATCTTAGAGAAAGATAGTGTTACGGACATATTTCTAGATAATTTAAAGGGGAACCACTGTTTCATACATATTTTTTGTTTGTCGTGAACCGTTTTGTATGTATATATTTATCATGACACAATTCATTGAAATGATATAGCAAAAAAAAAATACAAAATATGTTCTAATGTTAAATTTGACTTTTGCAGTTACTGGGTTATTGCTCGGGGGAGTCGATATAATCTAGTGAGAACTTCTAAACGGTTAACTTTGAGTTAATGAAATGGCATTTGACTACATTCATGTACTTACGAGATATATGTACTAATATATAAAGCTGAAGAGTGTCTTTGTTTGAACGCGCTAATCTCAGGATCTAGTTAATGTGATTTATTTGGTTAGAGCCTATATCGATGAAACCTCTGAGCTATAAAATATAAAGCTGTGACTAATAGGAGAAAAGAAACAGGGGAAAATGTGGGAAAAAAACGGGAAAAAATTAATCTTTCATCTTTGAAAGTTTCCGTTGCGTGCGATATGAAATCCCTTCAAGATACCCAAAAATATGTATGAGAGTGTGATTCCTCTATAAACGATCTAAAGAATATCCACAACGGTATAATATGTCTATCTTAAGAATAGCTTGCAAGAACGACGAAAATGAGGTTTGCAAAGCAGACGTGAATCTGCAACACAACTCATCTAATAATGTTCCATTTTTAAATATAAGAATAACGTTAAATTTTAAAAAAATATCATTTTCACAGATGTACCAAAACGGCCAGATGTTTTACACGGACGAGCCCTGGGCGGGCATGTCATGTTGGAACTGGGCTTGCAAATGGAGGCACAATCAGAACCAGCGATCTAATGAATTCTTCGTTAATTAATAAACATTACGAACTTAAAAATCTTTATTCTCTTTCACCACGTGTAATGGTGGACCCAGAGATCCCCCCCCCCATTGTTTTTTTTACAAATTATATGTTTAATTCTTTAAGTGTACAGTTAAAGATGAATATTTTGGAGTACAGTTCTTAACGTTTGCCTACTTTTATAAAATACAAATTTTTTACTTGCATCTATTGTTGTCAAAAATAAATAAAAAGTTTAAATAAAACACTTTAACGGTTTAAAACGCGATATACATTAGTTAAACTCATTTAAAGAAATATTATATATATCGCGTTTTAAACCGTTAAAGTGTTTTATTTAAATGTGTACCACTCGTGTAAACTTCAGACAGTATTAAATTAAAAGTTCGCGATCTGCGCTACTGTTCTCACCAATCGAGTGAATACCGGTTGAAGCCCCGCCCGTGTCATTAGAATCAGAATTTTTTTCAGTCTAAGTCGATTTTTAATTAATATGAACTGTTAACAATACATTTTGTTTATTAGTACATAATTTTATATGTACGCGAGTAGTGCACATTTAAATAAAACAAATTAAACGGTTTTAAACGCGAAATATTTTAATTAAAAGAACGTTTTTTTTAACATGCTGTTTGTAGCACCTCTCAATAATTCAATCCTGGGGGACAGCCATAAAAATTTTATTTATTTATTTATTTATTTATTTACATTTATTTACATATATGCACTGTCATAAAAGGGTGGAACCCCATGGGAGAGGGAATTTAAAAAATTTTTTATGATAGAACAAATATATATGAACTTAAACAAACTATCGTTCATAACTCAAAATATATTTGTAACATATTTGTGAGTTCACAAAGACTATATTTTTTTGTAAAACATTTAGGATCGACCGTCCTCGTCCATTGTCCTTTGCCATTAAGTTCGTTCTAGAAAAGGCACCAGAAATGTGTTTTTGTCCCTATAGCAGTCAGGCACGTTTATGCTTAACCTGCTTAGGACGCCGATGTTGCATACTTTCCCTCTTAATAATTTAATGATATAAGTAGCTAGAGCAAAATCCCTTCTTACTCTCAACTTATTATAGCCCACCATTCCCAGCACAAAGAGTTCGGTACATAAGAGGATAATATGGATAAATTCCGTACATTTTAAAATACAAATGTCTTACAAATTTGTTTTGGATTTTTTCCAACATAGCACAGTATTTTTCTTCGTGAGGTGCCCATATTGTAGCATTATGTTCCAAATGGCTTCTAACTAGTGATCACACACACCTCTCACGGTTGGCATGCTAGTGAAGTCCCTCGCCTGTCTCAGCACAAATCCCAGACTCCGGTAGGCTGCTTTGCATATCTAAAATATGATTCCTAAATCTAAGATCTGACTAAAGGACATCCTCATTTAACTTAAAATAAAACAATAATAAAAATATAACATTTATTTACTATTTGTATAACTTCGTAACAACTTACAACATATATTTGTACATATTTATAAATCTATTTATATTATTTCTAACACATTCAACAATTTACATAGGATTTTAACACTCTAATAATTTCTTACAAATGTATGGTATGGCATTGCGATCTTGTAGTTGTGACGTCACAATCCGTGACGTCACAGAAATATTCTAACAGTTGTTTTACTTTCGGCGATAAAGGAGATGTAAGTAAAAAGGATCTAGTGGCTCATCGCTGGGCGAGTGTGCGATAAGGACAGGCTTACTCCATTTACGTGTTCAACGTGAGATAAGACCACAACAAATATGGCCGATTTCAAACCATAGAGACCCAGTATAGAGTGAAGTTGATGCCACAAATGACATATGGACCAAACGACCTCAATATTAAAAATCTTAATTTTTTATGTCATTTTCTTCCCCTCCCTTTAAACCCCGTCGGTCAAACTAAAACTTTTCTTTTATTATTTTATTTAATCTGTCCATTTACAGAATGGACCGTGGATTATATCCAGTCTAGATTTTTATTAATTTAACATGAAATTGTGGTTTTTACTAAGTGACTAGTTTAATATATAAACCAGTGTCTAAAAGTGTTAGTGTAAAACAATGTATTTAGTATTTGTGTTTTGTTTTTTTCTAAAAATGTCAAGTGACAAAAAACACTATACACGCGTGCTATAAATAAAAAATAGAAGCTGACGACACGGGTAGAAATTCAACCGAAATCCACGTCGTTGCTACTATCCTACCAATACCTACTTCTTCAATCTAATTACTTTTGTATTTGATAAATTTCCATCATTTTCAACATGAGTAAAAACGGGTTTCCGCGTATGCCTTTAAAACCGTAATAGAGAGACGACATATTAGTCTCTCGGCGAGTTGTTGCGAGATGCGAGCGTCGTAACGCGAGTTTTCACTTTTATACTTTTGATATCCAGCGAAAAGGGAGTGGAGTACTCAGAAACAACGATAGCGATCAATGATTATATAATTTTAAAATCAATTTTACGGGCAGGATTGAACGAAAAAAATTTTTGGCCGGGGGGGGGCTTTAACCGGCATCTCCCCCTTTCCCTCCCCCCTGTTGCTTTGATTAATAAAGTTGCTGTTAAATTGATTATGTTTTTTTATTATACAATATACATAAATGTTTCGTTTCTTAAGAACTTTTCTCGGCTTTTCTCGCCGACAGCGGAACAACTGCAAATACAATCTTTCAGCGAGTGTACCAATAGTAACGCACTTCATCGTTTTAGTTACTAAATAAGCAATTCGCACAAATACAACTACAAATATACGCCTAACACGTTTTATATATCTAGTTATTTATTATTGCACTATTAATAAACTCATTAATTAAATACTGTCTATAGTTTACGCGAGTAGTACACATTTAAATAAAACACTTTAACGGTTTAAAACGCGATATATTAGTTAAACTTATTTGAAAATGATTTTTAAATTCGGCCGACGTTTTCGGTCTCCCCGTGACCACGGCTGCTGCAAAGCATCTGAAACTTCGGGCCGAAGTTAAAAATCATTTGAAATAAGTTTAATTAATCTATCGCGTTTTAAACGGTTAAAGTGTTTTATTTAAATATTAATAAACTCATCTTAACTATAGTTTATTTGGAATAACTGTTTATTTATGATTACAAATACAAAAGCGATTTTAGATTGATAAAATTTACGACACAAGCAGGGCTTAGGCATCTACATTTATTAAAAGTTTGAAAAACACGGTAGCTAGCAATTGGTTAGAACAACAGCAAAGAACGCCCTAGATGCCGGGTTCAAATCCTGCCTGTGTCGTAATTTAAAAAAAATCTAATATCGATTTTTAATTCATTTAGTGCCATCGTGGGCAATGTGAAAAATGTAACGAGTTTTCGAATTTCATTATTACGATCAATATTTACATCGACACGTCTTAACTAATCAAGAGTTAACAGTGTTGTCTCTTTCTTACATTTCCCCATGAAGCAGGACAGAGAATGGTAAGTGGGCGTCACCCTTTGTTTTCCATGTTAATTCGTTTCAGATAAAATCAATGTCAAGATAAAATCAAAATACAATTCGAACCTGTGATTTTAAAGATAAGAAAAATATACTTGTTAATTGACATAAAATACAGTATATACAATAATTTATTCGCTGTTGTATAGCCTTGAAAGTGGTGTGCTTTATAAAATTTATATTTAAAGAAAAATAAGCCAAGCATTGTCAAAAGCGTCGATACCACTTGCGCGGGATTCAATTGATGGAAGTAAATATACTTCAATCCTTGATAATCTACTTTGAATGCGTTGTCAGTACGTTTTAAATAAAACGCTTTTAACGGTTTAAATCGCGAAATATATTACTATACTTATTTTCCCCCTTCTCTCCGGTGACCACAATTGCAAAAAGCATCTGTAGCTTCAAGACGAAGTTAAAATATAATGTAAATAAGTTAAGTAAAGTTTCAAGTCCTAAACCGTTGAAAGTGTTTTATTAAAATTGTAACAAAGATTTGGCGATAAAAGGAGTGACGGCGAGTTTTTTGCCAGTTCTTCTAGTTCGTTTTACGCCCTTAATTTGAGAAATACGTAAAATGAAATTTACAGTTGTAAACTGTAACGTTCATAATCCAACTACCTTCATGCTTAAATGATTTTTGATTTGATTTCGAAAAGGTAATCGATTCTAGGAACTCCTCTAGGCAGCAACCTTATTATCAGCAAAAGTAAACAAATCTTCTCCAACCTCCTTTCTCTGACAAGTGCTACCGTAAATCATCTAGTCTCCCCTCCCCAGCGTAAGTCAGCATACGTTATACATAAAAAGTATACTTACTTTTGCGTAAAGGGGAGGGGGGGTTTATGCAAACTAAGCAAAGTTTCCTCAATCTCCCGTCTGTAATCACGTTTTACGCGGGCAAAGGCGAACACACATTTCTGTTCGTTTTACTGATCTGTTTTTTAGGCAAGTAGTTGATCAGACTGTGCCCTGATCGATCGAAACAATTCACTGTTTCCCCGGAACTCGAAACTACGACCTCTCTGCGCCTTTGAACGATTAACCAATTAGCAACGTAGTTTAAATAAATAATAATTCTCAGACGAAATAATAAAATGGGTATAAATATCTCCACCAGCCTCCGTTGGTGTTGTTGTCCCCCTCATCCTTGCTGCTGTCTCCCTCGCGTGGTAATTCCTGAAAAAAAAAAATTAAAATATATCGTATTAATAAATAAGACACTTTTAACGGTTCTAAATCCTTTCACAAATGAGCTAATGCCTTCTATAGAAGGAAGAATATATATATATATATATTTTTTTTTTTTTTTTTTTTTTTTTTTTTATATATATATATATATATATAATCTGTGTTGAAATGTATTTTTTTTGGCAGGATTTTAGTGTCGCTGTGTGTTTTGTATGTCATTTACTGAAAAAAACGTACATTGAGACACTTTGGTTACTTTGGTTTGACAAGTTTTTTTTTTAATTATTATCTAATTAGAAAAAAAAAATCCTACTCTACTAAAGCTGTTATATTCTTCACTACACTATATAATGACAACTGGAATCTACACATTTAAGTAAAAATACAAATTTAAATGGGAACAATTTCAACGGATCAAAACTGGACAAGACATAAAAAAATAGCCATTACTTCTAAAATATTAATCACGTTTGTTTTTGACATATAGCCTAGTGGATAATTGGACCTAGTCCCGACAGTGGGAACTACTAATGTGGTTAAAATCGTACTAAAATATTTTACCAAACAATCACGTATTAATCATCTGTTCTCGGGTTTTAGGATTCTATTCCATCTAGATTGGTCTCATCCTTCTTACGTTACATGAAAGTAGGGAAAAGTGAGATTTAAATATAGTATCATTTATATTTCAACGGGACTCTAACCCAAGACATACAGCGCGCTGTACAGACCGATAAGATTCGAGAGGAACGACTTAGTTTGAATAATACACTGTTAACGGTTTAAAACGCGAAATATATGAGTGAAAATTCTTACAATTTATTTTAACTAAAGGCCGACGTCGGTGCTTTGCAGCCATGACCAAGGTAAGACTGTAGATCTTATGTGTCTCTAATGACAAAGGAAAAAGTGCTACGCGAGCGCCATCTATTCTCTCTAGTTGGTATTTGCAAAAATCGGCTGGGTCCTTTCAGAACGGACCAACAACTCGATCCCTATTAAAATATCGGGCCGTAGTTAAAACAATTTTTAACTAAGTTAAATAATAAATTTCTCGTTTTAAACCGTTAAAATGTTTTATTTAAACTTTCGAGAGCCACTTTTTAAAATTGAGCACTTTACGCTTTTATTGTGGATTCGAACCCTATCTCGTCACTAATAAAAACTCATGCGCAAAAAAATTTTATTTCTTAATTTTCTCTACAATTATTTATCATTTAAGTTAATAATAATTGAATCTTATGTGTTAATGTCGAAATTTAATTGCTCCATACACGCAAGCTTTAAATTTCAATAAACAAACATAGATGGCGACACGGTCTTCGAAGTTCAAGACCGTCAATTGTTTTTTTTATAATATCCAATTAACTCACTCTTTCCTGCACTTCTTCCTTCTTGTTGTCCTTCACTTCAGTAACCCCGTCCTTCTCTTCTATCTGTCCGTCCTCTTTCTTTTCATCTTGTTTCTTCCCTTGAACCTTTTCTTCTGTATTTGTCTCTTCGTGGACACCTTCGCTTTTATCGGCCGTGCTTATTGCCTTTTCGCTAACTATTTTGACGTCATCTGGTGTTATATCCGTTTGTGTCTCTTTGTCTTTCTTCTCTATTTCATTTTCCATATCGGGTCCTAATTTGGACGACTGAAAAGAAACAATAGTAATATTATCGATATAATATTAATAGCTGACCCGGCATAAACAATATTTTAGTGTAAGGACTTGGTAAGACTAACTTAAGTTCCCTTCCCCACTCTACGGAGGCGGGGGGGAGGGGGGGTTGGGCACGCGGGGGGGGGGGAAGGGAGGAAAATTACCAAGTGACAAAACATAGAGATTGGTGATAGAAGGGTGCCTATTTAGGGTTGTATGTATTTAATACCACAAAATGAAAAAATAAAAAAAAATACTTTTTTCACATGTCATAGCAGACAATGGCTTGGATGATGTATTTTATAATGACACCATATATAAAAAAACTATTACTTAGGGCTATAACAAATAGGTAGTTACCGACTTTCAGCTTACCAAGTCGCTGACACAGCTAGTGTACATAATTGTTATAATTTAGTTTTTTTATATTTAGGTTCTAAGGTAGAATGAGTTATTATAAATAAATAAATTCGAATTACACCACATACTGAGTGAATGGATTATACGCACTTCCATATCTTGTTCGTTAATTTCATCGGAATTCTCTTCGTAGCTCACTTGATCTGGACCAAATGGAGTGAAGTCTGGTAAATCCTGGAAGTACCAGAAGAACTTTTACTTCAAGGTCGTTACAATGTATTTATGGCTAACAATAAGTGGGTAGATTCCACATGTTTGTAATCAATTTAAAAGTTTGTTGTTGGAAATCTGGATATTAAATAGATGTTTAAATAAAGCACTTTAACGGTTTAAAACGCGATATATTAGTTAAACTTATTTGAAAATGATTTTTAACTCCGGCCCGACGTTTCGGATGCTTTGCAGCAGCCGTGGTCACGGGGAGACTAAAGATCGGGGATGTCGATGTTAAAAATCATTTCCAAATAAGTTTAACTAATATTTCGCGTTTTAAACCGTTAAAGTGTTTTATTTAAATGTGTACTACTCGCGTAAACTAGACAGTATTTTATTAAATAGGTGGTTGGAATATCAAAATTCCGCCTGGAACCAACGTCCACGGGTGAAAGACGTGAAGTTTAATCGCATTTCGGCTTCTTTGCTTTCGATATAAATTATTATTTGTATTAGTATTGTACGAGAAGTGACACCAGAGAAGGGGGGGGGGTATTACCAAGTGATCCTTGATCGTTTATAATTACTTAAACAACTATTAATTATTTTAAATTAACTAGAATAATGCTTTTCTAATTTTAAACTGTTAAAAGTATTTTGTTTAAACAACTACACAAATTGAAGATAACCTCTTTCCTACGTTGCAGCCAACTGCGGTAGTCATTAGCCGCCCGCCTCATCTTCAGCAGATAATCTGGGGCAGCTCTGCTGGTCGCCCATGCAGCTACACCCCCAGGCATACCCCCCACGGCCGGTTCATCGTAATACGTAAGCACGAACTCCATACCGGGCTGTTAACAATAAGGAAAATAAATAAAAATACGATGAAATATTAAATAATTTACGAAAAAGTCAGTGCAATGGCGGCCTTTTTGCCTATGGCGATTTCTTTCAGGCAACCTTTGTTTGCAAGAGATACTAGTAGAAGGTTATCAAAATCTAAATAGCTTGTTTTATGACACAAATGTTGGAAGACAGATAACCATGTGGTTCACAATATGGAAGGTGAGATACCCCAGCTATATAACGGAAGCGTACAAAGATCGTAAATGAAGACGCACGCTTCGTGCTTGGCCCATTAATTTTACTGGGAGGGGGCGATGCCCCATTGGTGTCCTATTAAACCTGTTAAGGGAGGGGCACGAACTTTGGAGGTCCTATTAAACCCATGAGGGGGAGAGGGCACACTCATAAGGATCTCATTAAACCGATAAGAGCGTGCCCCAACAGAGGTACCGTTAAACCAGTTAGGGGGCCCCATGGGGGGCTTACAATGTGCTTGTTTACTTAATTTACCTTCTCCGGCCCATCGATAGTCTTCACGACCATATGACTCCAGTACTCAGTGACTCTGATGGCGTGTTTCGTCTCCGGCACGTCCGGGTGATCACACGCCTTCGACAATATTATGTACACTTTGTTCGATTCTCTGTCCCTTTCCTCCTTGTGGGCCTCGCGCGATTTCCGCCTCGCTTTAGCGTGCACACTTTTGAACTCGAAGGGGTCTTCATTTTTCTCGTTTGACTTCAAATTAAACTCCTTGTGTCGTCTTATGTAGACGTAGTCACGGTTGGCGAATAGTCTCTGAAAATAATATGAACATACACTTGTAACGGTTTAAAACGCGAAATGTATGTCACGGGGAGACCGAAAACGTCGGGCCGAAGTTAAAAATCATTTTCAAATAAGTTTAACTAATATATCGTATCGTATAATATATCGTTTTAAACCGTTAAAGTGTTTTATTTAAACGTATAAGTGTTACTTACTTCTGTAGCTTACGCAAGTAGTACTCATTGTACTACTTGCGTAAACTACAGAAGGTTTAATGATTTGATAAGTCATAAAAATAGATGAAACACAATTAAAAGAACATACATAGGACATTGTTGACGGTTTAAAACGCGAAATTTAATACAAATAATAATATTAATACATTTCGCGTGTCAAACCGTTAAAACTGTTTTGTTGAACTCACATATATACTATGGGCATGAGGCAAACATATTTCTGTGTCTGTGTCAAAGATAGATTCATACAAGCCAATCAAATGCCCTGCCTGTGCATAATTAATTATTTTAATTATTGCATTCTTTCTAGAATCAAACCTGGAACCATTAGCGTTAAGGAGCCAGGCTCTGAAATACGAAGTCTGTTAAATGTTATCCTTGCATTACGTCAGTCTTAGAATTTCGAACATAGATGGCGACACAGTAGCACATTTGACAGATTAGGAACGATACACGGTGTGTTGTAGGCGCGTTCTATTAGTATATTGTTTTTTCAACTTTCAACAAATAAAACTCTAAATTCAATACAAACGTTGATGTGTGAACGCCTTCGAACGCAATAATTATATTTAGACCTTACTAAAGTTGAATGTGCCAAACAGCCAGAATCTGTATTAATATTTATTATGAAGCTGAAGAGTTTGTTTGTTTGAACGCGCCAATCTCCGGAACAACTGGTTCGAATTGAAAAATTGTTTTTGCGTTGTAAGAGAATTTATCGAGGAAGGCTTTAGTCTATAAAACATAACGATGCGACCAATAGGAGCGAAGAAAAATGTGGAACAACGATTTTTCTTTAAATGATGTCCGCAACAGTATATCTTTAAGGTTAACTTGTAACAAGTTAAAGTCGTGGGTGACAGTTATATTGGAGATTTGTAAAAACAAATTTTAATTTAGACCTTAACACATACACGCTAAAGTTTAATTTCCTATGCCGTCCGGAATAAGGAAACTTTTGGAAGATGGTATCAAAAACTTACAGGCCATAGCACCTCCCAGTGCATAACTGTCTGGTCTGCTATGCCGTGCGTACCTCGCTGCACCACAGATAAAGCGGCCACGGCGCTATCCCAGGCCTTTCTATAAGCGCCATCTATTTGCACAGCGGCGAAATCGCTCGCCGATATCTCTGGATAGCGACCATAGACTGTAAAAAGAAGACTTTTATTTTGTATTATCTGTAGTTAGTTTTATATAAAACAGTTCTGACGGATTAATGCGAAATATATTAGTAACTTTTATTAGATAAAATTGTTTGTTGTATAGTTTTGCATTTTAAACCAACATTTTTCACAACAGTGAAAACGCGAAATATATTAGTATGATTATTAGTAGATAAACTAACAGTAAAGAATATATTTGAAATTTTAAACCGTTTCAAGCGATACAAAAGTATGATCAGAATACTGGTGGCTAAGAGACATAAAAATGTAGTTTTTTTTGTAGATAATACAAAAAAACATTCATGTTACAAAGTAATGAATAGTTTAAACAAATGTAATGCCATTAAAAAATGTAATTTGTGATATTTACTCGCTTCAGTAGCGTTTCGTTATACAGCTTAAAGTACAAAATAATTAAAAAAAAACTATTTTGCTTTGCTAAGTTAAATCTATACTAAAATCTAAAGAGTTTGTTTGTTTGTTTAAACGCGCTGATATTATTTATTATTATACGCGAAGTACTGGTTCGAATTTTAAAAAAATATTTTTGTGTTAGTTAAAAAAAACGGGGGAAAATTCTCATCTCTCCGAGTTTCCGATGCGTACGCTAAGAAAACGGTTCAAGATACTCCCAAAAATATGTATGAAAAAATGATTCCCTTTTAAATAATCTAAAAAAAATCCGCGACACTATGTCTATCTTTGAAGAGTAACTTGCAAGAACGACGGGAAGGGACGCCACCGACGTCGTGGCTAACAGATTATAAAATGAAGGAGTTTTGAAAAAACGAATTTGGATGCCTAAAATAGCGATTCTCGCGGACGAAGTCGCTGACACAGCTAGTACATCCATAAAATCACTTCATGAATTTATGAATGTACTAGCTGTTATCTGCTATTTTATTACTTAAGTTAAGAATGAAAACTTCACACATTACAGAATAAAATGAATGTTGATGAACCTATAAAAGAATTAAATAAATAAATAGATAACCATTAAATTCTTCCTTAGTGCATTGATACATAGATTCATGACCCAGAGACACATTGTTTTAGTCTGTTAGGAAAGGAGTGAATTAAAAATCGATTATGTTTAAAAAAATTTACGACACGGGACTTGAACCGGCATCCACAGCGTTCCGTGCTGTTGGTATTACCAATTGAGATATCGCGTCAAGGAAAGGAGTAGTCAGATCGACTACTTAAGTGAATAAAACCGATTGAAACAGAGAAATGTGGCTTCATACCACACCCATAACTAAGCCTCTATACCCACTAGCTATGCATTAATGAATCGACGAGTACAAAAATTACTAGCATATTAAACGATAAAAACATAAATAAAGCACTTTAACGGTTTAAAACGCGATATATATTAGTTAAACTTGTTTGAAAATTATTTTATCCGCAACGTTAGATCGTAGACCGACGTTTCGGATAGTTTGAGTAGTTTATATCGCGTTTTAAACTACAGACAGTATTTTATAAAAAATATTATTAATAATTGTACCAAATATTTTTCGAGTTTAAATCCGTTAAGTACTTCAATCAAATTACTTGGTAACACCTCATATTTACAAGGTTTGACTCATCAATGGCCTTGAATCATTAACACATTGTGTATTGCATAATAAACACTGTCTTATCATATTATCTAAAAATATTGACCTTGTTGTAATCTAAAAATAATGCTTAGTTTTTTTAGGGTAGGTTTTTTTATCTAAGAGAAGGAGAGACAGGCACATGATGAACAAGATGCCATACCCATTTTAACTTCAGACCTTTGGAAAACCACAGACTGTAACCGAGAAGCCAATTTAAAATTTTCTCATCTGAGTAGGGTAGACGTAAATGTAATTTCGATGTTCTTGCCACCCATTTATAGTTCAGATCTTCCAAATGATGTCTAGCATGTTTTGGAAAAATTATAAAATTTAAATAAAACAATTTAACGGTTTAAAACGCGATATATTAGTTAAACTTATTTGAAAATGATTTTTAACATCGGCCCGACGTTTCGGATGCTTTGCAGCAGCCGTGGTCACGGGGAGACATCGTTTTAAACCATTAGTGTTTTATTTAAATGTGTACTACTCGCGTAAACTATAGACGGTGTTTAAATTATAAAATTGTTGAACTGAATAAAAATCAAACAATTTATTTGTGTGTATGTGACTAGTATAAGAGTAGATCTTTGTTGAAGTATTAGATAATATCTGATAGTGTAATGTTAACAAGTCTAGTGGAATTTTACATAATGATAACAAGATATAATGAAATAATAAATAAAATAGAAATAGGTCCACAACACATTATGTATATAAGGCAAATATGTCTCATAATTTTATACATATAAAAGATTTTTAGTATTTAAAAAATTTAACTTTCTCATTCTAAAAATTTTAAGGATATATAAGAGGTATGAAGCACGGAAAAACATCAGACAATATAAAAAAATATAACAATGGCATTGCAAGCAAAGTAGGGTTGTGTGTAATTTTATTGGCATATTAATAAACAAAAAAGGAAAAATGTTGTCCAAAAGTAAAAACAGGGTTTACAAATGTTGACAAGAAAGCAATCTTTACAATTTAGAGGCTGCTAGAGGCAGAGTGGCCTAATAACAAAAATTATGATTTTCCAATACGGAGGATAATAAATATGCGCAATTAGGAGAAAATGAATTTGTGCTAATATTTTTGTAGGAATTATGTTAACGATTTCCAGTCATTTGTATGATATTTCATCATTGTAACCAATTCTTAGAACTCTATTGATATACAATTTCATAAACATCAATCAAGTTTAAATAAAACACTTTAACGGTTTAAAACGCGATATATTAGTTAAGCTGATTTGAAAATGATTTTTAACTTCGGCCCGACGTTTCGGATGCTTTACTTAATAATTAAGTTTAACTAATATATCGCGTTTTAAACCGTTAAAGCGTTTTTTTTAAATGTGTACTACTCGCGTAAACTATAGACAGTATTCAATCAAGTTGTTGGGGAAACTTACGATAACTTACATCTTAGAAGTTTCAAGGTGTGTGAAATGTATGTAAGGTACTAATGAAATTGTATTTTCTTCATATAAAACAAACAAATGACAGTCTTAAGAATCAAACTACCTTTATATGCATACTGGCCTGAGCCAGCTTTGTACTCCTTCCTCCAAATAATGACGTCAACAGCCTCCATAAACGGCACCCATCCTTCTGAAGAACTTTGGCTCGGCTTTGAGTCTTTACATCTGGAATAAAATGAGTTACAAAGTTAAAATTATTATGATTGTTGTGAAAATTACCATTTCAAAGGTTATAGGTTATTTGATGGGCCAGTTGGTATGATGGTAGCAATGTACTACTAATGGCTACGGGTGTAATCAAGGGGTAGTGGATTCGATCCCCACGGGTTCCAGCAATTTTCTAATCACTTTATAATTTTATCTGAAACGTGCTGGACTTAGCCTGGAAATCTGGATGTGTTCGTAGGAATAACGAAATTCCGGCCCGGGTCACGAACCGTCGACATGAAGATGCCGTAAAGTTTTATAGCGTTTCCATTTCAGTCTGTGGTTTTCCATTTATCGGAATAGGTTTGTGGACCTATCTATACTGCATCCTATTTAAATGTTATATGGCTGGGTTTCCACACATACTATCAAATAAAACCCATAATTATACGCCCACCTTTTTTTGTTATAAAGATAGTTTTTTTATATGTCAATGATGTGATCTTGGTTTGTGTCCAACATATGGTTTTGGAAAGGCAGAGCACATAAGTCTGATAAACTAATAATTATCAGGGCTTCGTGAATGAAGAAATAATCTCTTAAATGGTCACTTACACACAGTATGAAACTCCACTCTGTTTTCTGTCAATCACCAAACGCTTTCCGCAACTAGTACAATATATTGTCAGCTTGGCCAGTTTCTGAAGATCTTCCAATTCATCGAGTAGTGACTAAAATCATATAAAAATTTGTATTTTTGATTACACAGTTCTCTATGTTGTTATTTCTACATAAAATGTATTATGATTTTTTAGTAAGGTTGTTCATATTTTCTCCATGTGTCTTACTGAGCAACCTTTAAAATAAATATTCTTTTCATAATTGATCTAAATAAATTTGGTTTGATATGCATTGTATATTGGGTTTTTGGGTGAAAAATATAATTAAGGCAAATAAATCAGACCAAAGCTAAGGTATTTTGTCTAATAAGAAATACAACAAAAACTACAGACAAAGACAGCCTATATATTGTTATGAAGTAATAATCTTTATCACCCTAAGATGGAAGTGGCCTACTATAACATCTAGATGAAAAAATTAATACAGCTAAAGTTATAAACACCAAGTTATAAGCACCAAAATATCATACTACAAATATATAATATACGTTAAGAGCTTCAAGATTCTACTTCAACTGTATTTAAAAAAATATTGAGCAACAGCATGGAGCGCTGACGATACCGGTTCAAGTCCTGCCCGCGTCGATAATTTTTTCAATTTATTTTCGATTCTTAAAATATAATTGAAGTGGTAAACAACAAGTCATCTAAGAACTCAATTTCACCTTATAGAGCATACAGAAAACTGCTTATTTATTCCCAAATTAAGTAATTTAAGAATATGTATAATTTAAATCTAATATGTATATCTAGTATAGTTTATATCAGTAATAAAGATAAGAGTAAAGATAGGTATACATAATCCTTCATTATAAGCCTAAAATGTTTCCTATTACTTATGCGGAAATCGGTGAAGGCGGAAAATAATGTTACCTGCAATTCATTGTCTGAGATTCCTTTCTCACAAGGAAACGTTTTTCCTCGACCCTTGCAGACCACTGTCGCGGCCAATAGAAAAGTCCGCCGGGGCCGGAATATAACTTGTTTAAAACACTGAATCACATCTCTCACACTACGGTCCCGTCTAAACTTCCTAACTACACTATTAATTAAATAATTACGCGTCCATGTATTCCAAAATCTTCCAACTGCGTTTTGTTTGAGATATAATCGAAATCTCAAAGCTGACATGCTACAGGGCGAACGAATCCGCTTTGTTATTTATCAGGAAAATTACAAAGGATCTTATTGCTTGTTTCCCATTGCAAAATGATCGGTAATTTTCCTATACTATATTTCCGGAATCTACAGAATTGTGAAACCTAACCTCCAAAACCAATATTCAATTTGATTATTAAAAGAGCTGGAAATCTTTTAAGTTTCAGGTAAGAATGAAATTGACAATATTATCCCAGACATTGACTTTGACATAAATATAATGTAGCCAGTTTATAATTGCTCTTCCTCCAAACTACCAAAGTTCCGAGGCATATTGAAAAGTTTATGTAATTATTGTGCATTAGAAAATGTATTATATAATATATATACTTCTTAACTTAAACTCAATTTTGTTTCGATCCGGACGATGAAACAAATTCATTTATCAATTTCTCAAACTTCACACATAATGTAAAAATGGGCTATTTGATATTTAAAATGTTTAAAGTGTTTATGTTACTTAGTGCTTTACATTTCAACAGTTATTAAAATAATAAAATAACATACAAGTTTATTTATTGATTAATGAACAGAATAGTACAGTCTTAACACTAGGAAGCATGGTGGTTTATAGTACAGTGTATAAGCAAGTGACGTCAGGAGAGTATTGTGTCGTGACAATTTTTTTTAGTTAATATTCATTTGCGGTATTTATTTAAATCAATTATTATTATGACCATATGAGACTGTTTACTCTTTTTAACAGTAATTGACGCTATAATTTTCGCTCTGTCAAATAGCCTGTTGAATGTACTGAGATGCTTAAAATATGATATTTTTGCTTTGGCAGAGGTCAACGTTATTTATAGCCTTCTTCTCTTTAAAGTATGTGTAATAATTCTGTACTTTGTCGCAAAAAAACGCAATTCCGTGCGTGCCAAGGTCTACACTAGTATTCACCAAGTGGCAACACCAGTTCTTTCTTTCATTTCGTCGACAACGAGCGAAGGCGTTCGTTCGATCGCTTGGTCACGTTCACGTCATCTTTTTATCATCTAATGTCTGATTTTTGTATCCCACATGCTTAGGGGTAACCGAAACAAGAAAAAATCAAAGAATCCCAGAACGAGAAGAAAAGTGCGAGTGAGATTGGCCGGAGTAGATGTAAACTAGAAAGTGTGCATTGAGTTTGGTGTCCCCAAGTCCGGTTCAATCTAGTAAAAGTCGGTTTCGAGAGTTCGACACCCTTTCCTCGATTCTTAACGTTTAGTGGAGAGTTTTAAATACTTTTGTTTATCCGTTATTCGGAAACTTTTAGTGTTAGTAAAGTTATATAAATCGCAAAGATGTCCGAGGAGTCGTCTGCCGATCGCAATGTAGAAATATGGAAAATCAAAAAGCTCATTAAAAGCTTGGAAATGGCCAGAGGGTGAGTTTAATTGCATTTCTATAATGATTATGCGGTTATTAACGATCGGGAGCGTGTGCAACGTGCATGCTTTTATAAAACCCGCGTAGTATTTGGTGCTTCGATTGGCCAAAATTGCCAACAAGGCTGCGTCATCTTGTACGTGCGCGTGTTATATGCGCAAAATATAACCTCGAAGACACGCAATGCATTCAAATATACGCAATTTTACGGCAGCCAAATATTCCCCACACGAAAAGATTATAATAAAAGTTCCGAAGAAATAACCTTAAGACGTCCGACATTTTTAATCGATCGATTCCATATCGCGCTATACAAGCTTTTTATTAAAGCCCTTCGAAAAATGTAATCTACTAATAAAAACAGTTAAAAAATAAGTATTTTAACACATCTTTAATTGAAATTAAACTTCAGTATATTTAATGATGAAGGTATCTATCTCTAAGCTATTTATTTGTAACTAATCTAAAGACACAATAGATACACATCACATATATCATGCTATTATGATGCTATGTTATATTATGACGTGTATGGCAAATTCTTTTTGTCTATTAAGTGGTATGGTTTGCATCTCACATCAGCGTGAAGCATAGAGAAGTTAAGACAGATTGATTAACCTATAAATAACAAAAGCTGAGATAATTTTGATTACATAACATGTAAACATAATCAATCTTCTATGTACATAAAAATTACATTCGGTCGGTACCTTTAAAGTTTTTCATTTTAAGGCCACATTCGGCAGTAAAAACGCATGTAATAATTATTGATAATTAAAACATTGCCAGTAAAATTATTTTTACTAATCAGTAAATGTAGACTATTAAAAGATGGAATAAATTTTTGATCATATCTTAGACTATTTTGTATTTTTATAGTTAGTTAGAAATGTGCGAAGTCCAATTATAATTTCTGCATATCATATAGAACTAGGATTTTGTTAACTAGAGTAGATCACTAGCAGTAGTTATAATCATCAATAAACACATTTTTTGAGAGCAGCAGCACAGCTGTTGATGCTGGTTTAATCTTAGTAGATTTTTAACTCATTGTTTCGGTAATTGAAACATAGAGTGTAAATTTTTAAAAAATGTATCAGTATACCCACTATATAATTGAAAAGCATATTTTTTTCTTTAAATTATTAGTATAGTGCATAGTAAAAATATTAACTCAATAATATACAGGCCTTCCAGGCATCCTGTTGCGCGCATAATAGACTATTGAAAATTATGGCTTCCTGGCAATTTTGTTTACATGACAGTACCCAGTTGGTCATTAGCACACTTAGGATTGATTTGTGTTTCTATCGCAAATTGGTAGATATGCAAGCCTTGTATAGCTAGGTTTGGTTTTAGTTATTCACTTAATATTAACCAAATAGGGACGTCATTTTGTATGCAAATTTTGACGGCTTTATCTGTGTAATCGTAGCTATATACGGGTAATATCCAACGGAGGGTTCGATCCCCACCAGGTCCAACATTGTTCTAATAAATGTCATACTTTATCTGAGAATCTGCATATTAAATGGATGGTAGGAATATCGAAATTCCGTCTGAATCACGAACCACCGTTCACATATAAAAAGTGGTGAAGTTTAATCGCGTCTTGGTTTTGGTCTGTGGATTTCCGAATATCCAAAGCCAAAATAGATTGATGGAGGAAATCCTCTTGTAGCATTAATAAAAGTGTTTTACACTAAGACTTCACATTTAGCCATTTATAAGGCATTGATTGTGTTTAGTTCCTTTGTAAGCCTCAATTTGAACTCAGTGTTTGCTAAGTCAAAAGTACTCAAAATGAACTACTTGTAATGACGAAACGTCTAGAACCTCCTCCTCCCTCCCTCCCTCCCTCCCGCCATCATAAGTATTTCTTGATTATGATGGCGGTACTTAAAAGCTTCAACTTAGCTTGGAAATGTCTTATTCATAACTTGTTATTATTATCTATTGGTGACACCGGTAGAAGGCTGGGTGATCAGTCTACACTATCAGCTGACTATTTCATCCATTTTCTCCTTGCAGAGGTCTTTTGATTAACTTCGTTGAATGGAGACGAGTTGACAATCTATCTTCTCTTAAAGCTGCTGAATTACCATTCTAAACGAAGTTGAGATTCTGAACTTTACCTAGACAAATAACTAAATGTATTATGCATTTATGAATTATAAACTGCAAAATGTAATCGAAATTTTTACATTACAGGAACGGTACATCTATGATTTCCCTCATCATACCCCCCAAGGATCAGATCTCTCGAGTCTCCAAGATGTTGGCTGATGAATTTGGTACAGCGTCAAACATTAAATCGAGAGTCAACAGACTGTCTGTGCTCGGAGCTATTACTTCTGTACAGCACAGATTGAAGCTGTACACCAAAGGTGAGTATTTCTATTAAGACTTGTAAGCCTATCTCCATATTTTTAGGATAGTATTTTAGACCGTTGACCAAATTAATTAAACTCTTTACCTAACAAGTAGGAATGGGATAAACATATAATTTAAATAGAACACTTTAACGGCTTAAAACGCGATATATATTAGTTAAAGGCTTCTTTACAAGCATTTTTCTGTACATTAAGAGCCCCTGCAAACCACAAACTTTCTATCGGCCGATAGTTTGGTCGGGATTATAATTAGTATGAAGATGTATCCAAATCCGTATACTACAAAGATTTGATATCCGATTGGGCTGATAAATAAGTTTGATGTGCTACTCAACGGCGTTCAAAATAAACTATCGGCCGACTGCTCTATCAGTACAGAGCACCAGCCGATGGTTCAGTCAGTCGACTTGACCGAGGGTACATTTCGGTCGCGCATATTTGGTTTTTATTATGTCACTGTCCAATTCTACTGCATAGAAATATAAAAAAAATTGCTAACTATTATCTATTAAGCATTAAATTTAAGGTTTGTTTTGATATTTTTAAGATTGTATATTTTGTTTCGCCCTCCCTGCAAGTCTCATTTTCCCATAAACTTTTTCTTTCATCTTGGATTGCCTGGAAGAGATTGCTAGTTGACGATAAGGCTGTCCATTACACTCCATATCTTTAGTATATAAGTCTCGTTTGTATTTTTTATTTTTTTTCCGTGCAATAGTGTTAAATAAATAAACTTGTTTAAATATTATATTAACAACAGCCCGACGTTTCGGATGCTTTGCAGCAGCCGTGGTCACAGGGAGACTAAAGATGGAGGGTGTCTTTATTGCAAAGTAAAAACTTCCACGCTCATCACATATTTCGTCGTAGTTGGTATTGGGCGGTGACAACAGAGCGTCCGAAACGTCGGGCCGTAGTTAAAATAATTTCCAAATTAGTTTAACTCGTATAAATCGCGTTTTATACCTTCAGTATTTTATTTAAATGTGTACTACTCCCATTAAGTACTGAGCATATTGAACCTGCCATATCAACCACATCCTAATTCAATGCTTGACTGTTCTCTTTCAGTTCCACCAAACGGTCTGGTCATCTACTGTGGTACTATTGTGACAGAGGAGGGCAAGGAAAAGAAGGTTAACATAGATTTTGAACCGTTCAAGCCTATCAACACATCACTATACCTCTGCGATAACAAGTTCCACACTGAAGCGTTGACTGCTCTGCTAGCTGATGATAACAAGTTTGGTTTCATTGTGATGGACGGTAATGGTGCCTTGTTTGGTACGCTGCAAGGAAATACTAGAGAGGTTTGTTATATTTAATACATCATATGGCCTCTGGCTTTCTACATTGTCTTTACGCAAATAATTATATACAGTAAGCTTAGGACAATTTCCCTCAAAAATCTAATATGAATTGAAAAAAAATACGACTCGGGCAGTCCTAGTCGTGGATTCAATAGCTCAAGTGGTTAGCATGAACCTCCGATGTTTAAGTCCTACATCTGATATCATCTCATCTTGTGCTTAAAATAATTTCCAAATAAGTTCAACTAATATATATCGCGTTTTAACCCGTTAGTGTTTCATTTAAACGGGTACTACTCGCCTAAACTACAGACAGTATTTACTGAAACACACATGTTTCCAGGTGCTACACAAATTCACAGTAGACTTACCGAAGAAGCACGGCCGTGGTGGTCAGTCGGCGTTGCGTTTCGCCCGTCTCCGTATGGAGAAGAGACACAACTATGTAAGAAAGGTCGCCGAGGTGGCGACCCAGCTCTTCATTAGCCAGGACAAGCCAAATGTGGCCGGTCTGATCCTAGCTGGTTCTGCTGACTTCAAGACTGAACTTTCACAGTCTGATATGTTCGATCCAGTGAGTACTCCTTCATAAACAAGTTTTTTTTTAAATAAAGGAAGAGAGACAAGCATGGGGTCACTTGCTGTCGACCCATTATGGCTTTGGATATTCGTTTGTCTTCTATTTACTTATTTGTACCATTCTATTAGTCTGAACATTGTTTTTCTATTGCCCATTGGTTTATACCTTACATAAAATACTATTTTTAAAAGAATGTTAGGTCTCTTGGACACAGATGTCGATCAATACTTGTTTATAAATAAAATCCCGATACTCCATGAAGGAAAAAATCCAGGAACACACAAATTAAACAAATAAAAGATCTTAAGTATGTAATTTCCTATTTGACAATGCGAAAAATATAACGTGAATTATTGACATCAGTAGTAAGTATAAGTTTTGAAATAGTTAAACAAAAAAATATAAAAATAAAAAACCCCAATAATAATTAATTTTTTTAAACATTTGTCACGCTTCTGATTGGTCGCGTTTATGACGACGTCACTTGCTTATAAACAGTGCTATAAACCACCGTTCCTAGTGTTAAAACTGTTCTGTTCTCTGCATTAATAAAGAATTTATAATTCATTTTATTACTTCAATCACTGTTGAAATAAAAATGTTTAGTACAAATGCATTTAGATTGTAGATCATGTGATCGACACACCAATGGCCACTATAAGGTCGTGACGTCACTAGCCGCTTTGCAGCGTTGTCTCGCAAAATAAATGTTAGAATTTTAATTTGATATATTCGAGCAAGTATGTATCAGAATTTAAAAAAAACTACCTCTCTGGGGTTCCTTAACATCTACCAAATAATATAAAGTACATTTAAAAAAAATTTTTTTTTGACGGGCTCGTCTACTGCTAGCAATGTATCGCTAATGATCAACGGGCTGTTGGTTCGACATTCAAGTCCAACATTTTTTCTAATCAATGTACAATTTTCTCTGAAACAATGTTGGACTGCGTCTGGAAATCTGGAATTAAATCGGTGATACAAATATAGAAATCCCGCCCGGATCACGAACCACCGTCCACAGGTGATATCTGAATATCCAAAGACAAAATAAGTCTATAGCGCATCTGGTTTTGATGATTTACCCCAGCCTATGCTATAGGCTAGGGTATATCATCATCAAGTGAACTCCCATGCCATGTCTGTCCTCTATTATTAAAAATATGAGTATATATTGTATTACGTTAGATAAATGTTATATATAACACCTCAGGTAAAAGAAACCGAATGTAAAAAAAATCCTTAATAAGCACTCACGCGCAGCTTAATTAATTTTAGCTTTGTCTGTGTGCAGTGTCGGCGACGCACGTACACATACAAGCCGAAATTAGTGCCTTTGTTTGAAGATGACCCACTGGTTTCTTTTTCCTTTGGTACAGCCGACTTGACTGAATTGTCGAAATCGGATATTTTCGACGCAGTGAGTATCGTGGTATCAATAAAAAAACAATTTACTTACGTGAGATACTTTTATTAAAAAAAAAACACTATAAACGGTTTAGAACGCGAAATATATTATCAGTTTGTTTTCCTGGTTATTAAAACTATAAAGGCCGAACGTATGTGTTAATATTGTTTCTCTCTACAGCGTCTGCAATCAAAAATCATCAAACTGGTGGATGTCTCATACGGTGGAGAGAACGGCTTCAACCAAGCTATCGAGCTGGCCGCGGAGTCATTGCAGAATGTCAAGTTCATCCAGGAGAAGAAACTCATTGGCAGATACTTTGATGAGATCTCACAAGTTTGTTTCATACCGTTTATAATAACTTGGTGTTTTTAATTTATTAATTACCACTGGCAAGTTGAAATGAAACAGTTTCAAACACACAACCGAAGTTTCGGATTTGCGGCAGCTTGATTGTTAAGTCAAATCTGCTACGCTAGCGCCATCTGTTTCGTCGTAATTCTTTAGGCTGTTAAAATTCATTCCTTTCCCTTTATGCTCTTGTTTAAATCTTTGACAAAAGCTTTTGATTTGCCCTTCACAATGGTTGTCACGTTCTCAATCTCGTTAGTTACCAGTTCACACGCAACACGGAACGCTGTTGATGCCTGTTCGAGTCCTGCCAGTGTCGAAAATTTATTCAATTTAAAATTTGTTTTTTTTTTTTATAATAGATGACGTGATGCTACCAAACAGGCCTTTTAATGTATTACCTCTTATAACAGGACACAGGGAAGTACTGCTTCGGTGTAGACGATACATTACGCGCTTTAGAGCTGGGTGCTGTCGAAACGCTGATATGCTGGGAGAACCTCGATATACAGAGGTATATACAATGTACACTAAAAAATATTCCTTATTTTCAGACTAATAAGGTTGAAAATAGTCTGGCGTTGTATACATTACTAGTTTGACAGACAATAGAATGTCATGTATTTGATGGAAACCAATGTAACCCTATATGCTTAAGATTCACTGTCGCCCTATTTTGCCTTTGGACTTGCGCAATCCACAGACAAACCGAAACGCTAATGTAACTTTGCGCCTCATTGATCATAATCTTATGTTAACCATTGGATCAACGAGACCGTCTAGGTGGACAAAAAATACGTAGTCTTTAAATAAAAACACTTTAACGGTTTAAAACGCGATATATCAGTTAAACTTATTTGAAAATGATTTCTAACTTCGGCCCGACGTTTCGGATGCTTTGCAGCGGCCGTGGTCACGGGGAGACTGTATGATGTGTACTAATCGCGTAAACTATAGACAGTATATACATAGTCTTTCTTTGATGGTAGAGGAGGAAAGACAATGATGACGTGATGGAAGATGCCCTGTCGACCTTTTATATTCGGAAATACACAAACTTATTGAAACTTGACTTAACTTCACGGCTTTGCATCTGTGGACGGTGGTGCGTGACTCGGAAATATTTTTTTTTATTTATTAGAAACATACTGGATCTGGAAGAATTCGACCCGTTGGTTATTAGCCATACGTTACTACCATTAGACCATAGAGTCCAATTTGCAAATAGTTATTTTATGCTTTCAACTCAACGATATAATCAATCAACTTGTCGTTATCCGCTTTCCAGATACGTGCTGAAATCCCACGCAACCAACCAAGAGACAATTCTCCATTTGACCCCCGAACAGGAGAAAGACAAGTCACACTTCACCGACAAAGAGGTACACATATGTATTTTTTCTAACTTGGCACTTTCGGTAAACAAACAAACAATCCACATGAAATCGTGATTTTCTCACAAGGTTTACACTCAGTGACACTAAAAACCCTGGATTATATATTGAACTACCTCAACTTCACTTAGGAAAACCACAATTTCATACTAAAATTAATAAAAATCCTAAAAATTAATCTTCGTTAAGCAAAGTCTACGACAATAGAAGGAAGAATTCCCGATCGCTGAAAAGTGTTCACAAACGTCGAGTTAAATAATAAGGACATAACATTTAAAAAATGTGTCATAGAAGTGATTTTTAATATTGAGGTTGTCTGGTTAATATAATTATTGGTGTTTCTATTATCTGTGGCAATAACTTTGGTTTGAAATCGGCCATGTTTGTTGTGGTCTTTTGCCAAGTTAAAAAAAATACACTCTAGGTTGGCTCCCCTTTCTTTTCTCGCATTATTTCTCATGCTTTTCATTGTGTTCTAGAGCGGGGTAGAACTCGAATTGGTGGAATGTCAGCCGCTGCTCGAGTGGTTGGCGAACAACTACAAGTCGTTCGGAGCTACCCTCGAGATCATCACGGACAAGAGTCAAGAGGGCAGCCAGTTTGTTCGGGGCTTTGGTGGAATTGGCGGTGAGTTCTCCATGATTTCTTTAAGCTATAATGCTCTACAGCACTTATGGTAGCCTGGTACTTTGCTAAGGTGAATGGTCGTATTCAGAAGTTGATGTATACGAAATGCAAGGGGAATGCCCATTTTAGGCCACTATAGACAATTAGGAATATGAAATAATAAATAGCCTTTACGAACTAACGAACTTAATCTAATGTGATAGTGTCTGTAGTTTACGCGAGTAGTACACATCATATAGATCACTTCAACGGTTTAAAACGCGAAATATATTATTTGGACTTATTTACAAATTATTTTAAACACAGTCCGACGTGTCGGATGCTTTGCAGCAGTTGCCACCAAGTTTAATTAATATATTTCGCGTTTGAAACCGTTAAAAAGTGGTTTATTTAATTTTTTTTATAAATCTTTGGTAATATTTAACTTAACTGTGGCAATATATTAAAATGGCTATTCAATCAGATATCTATTCTTTTACTTATATAAAATGTCTATAATCTTTGGTCAGACCAATGACAGATATTGTCTTGAGTATGGGGATTCCCCTAATAAGGAAATATAAGTTTAACTCAATGAATACGGTCATTTTAAACCCACATTTGTGAGGCTTCTGATAACCTATTACAACCTGGTACTTGAAGATTAGCGGAGGCCATTTTGTATGGCTAAATGTTGCTAATGTGTGTCTGCTAATGCGAAATTAACGGTAGGACCAATTCAAGAGGGCATTGCCTGGAAGTTATAGTTTTCTTTAATACTAGCCAAAATAGGTCGAGAGCACATCTTGTTCAGATGCTATATGGCTGGGCTGTCACCTACCATCATAGAACCCCACGCTTGTGAATCTTAAATAATGCCCCCCCCCCCCCCTTTAAAAACATCACAACATAGTTATGAATAAAGTTGTTGCCTAAAGACTGGTTCATATTCTTCTTTGATACAGGAAACCCCATTTCCCCCTCGTGGGGTATGGGACGAATATAATTCTGTGGGCGTTTCACTGACCGGTTCTTTTACAGGCGAGTAGTTGATTATGCATCTGTGCCCTGTACGACTTCGAACAGTCTATTGTTTCAGGGTGTTTGAATCTTATACCAATAATGTCCATATAAATAAAAACTGAACTTCATTTTACGCGCATACCGAAAACAGCCTTCTTGAATTGGTGATACAGTACAAAGTTTACTAATGTAATGTTTTTCCTTCCTGCTGCCGTGCCCTGGACAAAAATAGGTATTTTGCGTTACAAGGTTGATTTTCAATCGCTCCAGCTGGACGAACCGCTGGACGACGTTGACTTGGACGATTATTAAGTGCGCGGTGAGGCACGGACAGACGGTTCTATTTACGATAATCGGTTTTTAATATAAAATCCGTTAGCTAGGTCTTTACGATTTTTCCTCATCAGTTTGACAGCTCACAATAGAGAAGGTCAGGTCGTTGGTGAATCGATTTTTCTTAGATTCGATTATTAAATCGGTTTGTTTCTATAAAAAAAGCGCTCTCAAATAAATATATATCGTAATCGAATTCGATTATTTATAGTTTTCGGTTAAGCACCCAAGAAGCCGACTGTTCCTAAAGATTCGATATAAAAATTATTTATCACATTTAGGAGGGTTTAACGGTTTGAGTTAAATCTTGTTACAGAGAACAATGACAGCCTTTTTGATTCGTTGTCTGTGGTGCTAACAATTAGACCCTTGCTTATTGTTTGTCTGTGGTACTCGAGGCCAAAAGTGAACTGTCAAAAGCACTCTGTCACTGTCAAATCTTTATATGCTCCCTAAAGAGTTTCAAGTAGGACTAGGTGTGCCCGTGACTTCATCCGCGTAGAATAGTCATTTTGGGCACTAACATTTGTTTTTTCGAGCATCCTCATTTTTATAAATTAATTATCTTAAAAGATATACATATACTGTCGTGGACATTTTTTTAGATCGTTTGAAGAGAAATAATTCTTTCGTATGGATGCTACACCACAGAAAAAAAAACCAATTCGATCAAGTAGTTCCTGAGATTAGTTCAGACTGTTTCATAATATTAGTATAGATTTAGAGCAGCTGTATCTCTTTGCAATGTCCAGTTCTTTAAGAGTTTGACAATTCTTCTTGCTTCTCACTCTATTGAAACCTCTGTCCGTGTATTACCTTCGCGTCGGTTAAAGAAACGAAAGCACCATTAATTTTTAATGTAGTCTTAAGAGCGCTTGTGATTTTGTTGCGAGCGACTGATTTGTGGCGTTCTTTTGGGTAGACCTTCAAAATACAGCACGACTCTTAGTTTTGATTTCCCCCCGCCCCCACCAACCTTCAGATTAGTGAACCGTTGTGAGTATAAACGTATGTATCGGGTAAAGCCCTTAAAGTTAAATGATTTTCCGGGTTTTTCATTTTTATTTGCTCCTATTGGTCGCTCATAATGCAGAGTATCGACGGGGGGGGGGGTAATATAGTCTCTGATATATTTTCACACTGATAGTTTGCCACATATCAATCGTTCGTTTTACACTCTACACCCACAATTGTTTCGTTTTCATTAATTAAATATTTTTAATCTGTAACCGGAAAGTGACGTAAATGTGACCAGTGTCATTTCTTCTTTGTCATGGTAGTTTTGGTATATGATATTGGGCAAAGTGATTGAGATATTTCATCGCTATCAACTATTATTGAAAATAATAGTTCAACTTATATATATCGCGTTCTAAACCGTTAGTGTTTTGTTTAAATATCGAAAATATCATATTTACAAAAATACCATGACAAGATTATACAAGAGGGCCCGCTTAATACAATTTTTTCTAACCGGTTTTTTCGAGCTGTTAAGTTCTGTCTCATATAGACACAACAATTGGACAAAATAAACTGGTAAAGTCTATTTGGAATTTATCTCGTCTCACAGAATACAGAACGAACCAGACGGACGGCACGTCACGTGATTGGTAAAGAACAAAGAGTTTAATTCAACATCTTAAAGACGGCTGACCTATTTAAAGTCACCATGATGAGTATAAGAGTAAAGAGAATGGTTAAGAGCGAGGGTTCAAATCAAGAGACACACAGTTTCGGTCGGGCAAGGCACAAATTTGATCAACTATTTTACTATAGATACTGATCTGAAATGTATTCCCCTAAGACCCCGAACTGGGTTTTCACTTGACGTTCTTGCGTTGACGGTTTTCGGGTTCTGTCTTCTGTATATATATACCTATGGAAAATGGTGTTTCTACCCTCAGTTATTTAAACCTAGAAGGTAGTTGTATTAAGCGGACCTTCTAACACTCTTTAAAGCTCAGCTAAAAAACCTACCATTTGTTTTATGATAAACAACAACAAGAAAATGACATTTCACAATTTGACTGATGCAACACGATAAATTAAGGCTGATAGAGGCAGAGTGGCCTAATAACAAAAAAAAATGATTTTCAATAAAGAGGAAAAAAATGCGCAAATAATTTTTGTGTAAAAATTATGTTGACAATTTTCAGTCACTGTGCTCTGTAGTTAACATTTTTAAATCTAAAAATCCTAATAAATTAAGTCATAAAACTGCAGTCAGGCCACTCTGCCTCTAGAGGCCTCAATTGTAATGGATAAAAGTGCTGTTACGATGTTCACAATCTCTCACTGTGACTACTACGTTACTATAAAACAACAAAAGTCTATATAGGTATAAAATACAAATGTTTGTCTGCCTACACAAAACCTTACTATAATATAGATATATAGAAGAAAGTATACAAACAAAAGCTATGATACTGCTGTGATTTTATAGAATAGTAGATCAGAAATATCCGTTTATAGAAACGGAAAAATAGTCTTCTATTATCTATATGAGATTTTAAAGTCTTTACTCCTTCCAGGGCCTGATTTCTGTCTATGTTGTGTGAAGTATCTGTGACGTCTACAGACAACTGACATTAAGTCAAAATCTATTGTCTGTAAAAGCCAGTGATAAATAAGCGATTGACTATTAATCTACTAAATGGTTTCCCGTCTAGTGATTGCAAATAGGCCAGTGTAAATTGTAGAACATGACAGTAACCAGCAAAGCTAAAGGTTACAATTAAATGAGAATTAGAAACACTGTCAAAGTGACCTTTATAGTGAGGGTATTAAAAATCTATTTTCAAAATGCCTAAATTTGTAATATAAGATCGGCCAGGAAATCTAAGAGAAGCATTATGTATTGTCTGTACTTTACGCTAGTAGTACACATTTGAATTAAACACTTAACGGTTTAAAACGCGAATTATGTTAGTTACCTTATTTGCAATTTATTTTACTTCCCGTCCGACGTTTTAATGCTTTGTAGTAGCCGTGGTCACGTAGATACTGAAAATGGAGAGTGTACCTAATGTCAAAGTTGAAATTGCTACGCTAGCGCCATCTGTTTCGTTGTAGTTGGTGTTTGGAGAAACTAGCTGGGATACAGAACTAAGTCCCCGTGTTTTAAGCAATTAAAAATATATTAAGTATGACATAAGTGACATAAATAGTTCTTTGACAATTTTCCGGGTACACTGGTACGATTCCAGTTTAAAAAAATAAAAAGGGGGATTGGTTCCCCATTTTACTCCTGGAACTTTAAGATAACACAACCTTGGATACAGACAGATAGCCAGCGGTGTTTATAGTCCCGAAGTACTCTAAAACGCTTACCACAAAGGCCTGCCTTGCTTTGTTTTGATGTTGTTTTTATTATAAATAATAATAAAAACAACATAACTTTTTGCATGGAAACGTAGTATTTGTGTGCAATTAAACGATTCTGAAATTAAACTTAGGCGTAAGTTGTAAGTATTTAAATGAGTAAGATAAAACCCGTAAAACGAACATAGAAATCTCTTCGCCCAAAGCCCCACAGGGGGAAACGTCATTACCAATATTCGCACATGAAAACGATCCATCGTAACATATCTAGAGTAGGTATTACATAGCCTGCGCTTGCGCATATAGATTAGGATTAGGCTTAGGAGACATTTCAATCGAACACGACCATTATACAGAACGAAAATGCAATAATATTTTACATAAATCGTGCCTATATCGATGTTTGTAAGAGATATTTACATAATATAGCTATATATTGTAGTATATTGGGGAATCTTTTACATTCAGCTTCAGCCTGGCAATAAAACTAACTACTGAAAAAAAAGTCAAATCAGTCTACGTATACGCTAAGAGCCAGGGAAGGTTGAAATAATACCTTACCTTCCTTTTTTATAGATTCAAGACTAATCTACCTAATAAACCCTGAAATTAAAAACAAACCCAGATTTCTTCAGTCAGGCAGGGCGCAGACGTCTAAGCGGCTTGTACATTTAGTTTAACGGACACAAAAAATTGTCTGCCCCTTGCCACGCGAGTGTCTACAGCTTTGGTTAATCCGTCGTCGCTCATTACTCGAGAAAAATACGACACGGGCCTTGCCCGCAACTAGGCTTTGATGGACTTTTTGTTCACACGTTCGCCCATCGATGCCTCTCCTGCCGGCCGTTGTGGAAACTACATAAGCATCTAGCGAATCAAACGTGGTATTTATCAGGACCACCTGTGGGCGGTTGGCCTTTTTTTAAGTAGAGGCTGAATGTAAAAGTAAAATTTGAACTAGTGGACTGATACAGTATATACGAAAGAATGCTCTCAAATATGTCTTCTATGAGGCAAATAATCAAGAAACTATGTAACTACCTGACCTGGCAACCTTTCTTTGCCATATTTCGTCGTGATTACTATAAAACGGTTCTTGTGAGTTAATATTAAAAGGTATATATCGTCGTAGACATTTTTTTAGATTATGCAAAGAAAACTAATTATTTTATAGATATTTTCTGAGTATTTTCCGGCCCGTTTCAGCAGCGCACGCAATGGAAAAATAATTTCCCCCCATTATTTTAGACTGTTACTTCGCTCGTTCGGTGGCAAAGATTTTTCCAGCTTTCGAATGGCCAACCAACCCAAAAATATTGTCTGTATTTAAATAAAACACTTTAACGGTTTAAAACGCGATATATTAGTTAAACTTATTTGAAAATGATTTTAACTTCGGCCCGGTGTGTCCCCGTGACCACGGCTGCTGCAAAGCATCCGAAACGTTGGGCCGAAGATAAAAATCGCCTTTGCCCAGCTGTGGGATATTAATAGGTTTAAACGAATATTTAAAAGCACGTGTACATAATTTGTAGTTTAATTATTACTTTTTATACACGTAACTAATATACAAACAGATATTATTGCAATAGAGATTCGTAGGTATAAATAAACTTTCGACATAGTGTAAGGTCTACATTTTTAAGTGAAACGTTACATAACGCGTTACCGTGCCGCTCTATGGTACTATTAACTAAAGTAAGTTAAACCCCGTTAAATTTAACAAAAAGGCTATACTTTAGATTTTAGGTTTGCAGAACAATTTAGATAACAAGTAAATCATATTATTAACAAGCTATATCATTTCACAACATGCAATGAAAAAGTGTAACTTTAACTCTGCGCGTGCACAGATTTTGCTATACGCCGGTTTGTTCTCGTCCGTATAAAATAATAATAATACCGCTATACTCGAGTAAATGTTTAAATAAAACATTTTTAGTGGTTTAAAACGCGGAATTTAGTTCACTTATTTACAATTTATTTAATACGGTTACTTATGTAGTCGTGTCTCTCGTTTCTATGTTGCAAAGCATCCGTCGGGCCGTAATTAAAATAAATAGAAAATAAGTTTATTTTCTATTTATTTCTCGTTTTAAGCTGTTAAATCTTTTAATTTAAACGTTACAGTTTATAACAGTTGGAAATAAAAGTAAGGTTTTGTGAGGGTAGTTGAACACAAAATGTTTCGTTTATTCGGTTTTCCAATACACGTTTCACGTCAACGAAAAGCATACATAAGTGTTGATATTTGTGATTGAAACGAAATGGTATTTACCGTTATCATTTGAATTTTTTTTAAATCGTGTACCTTAAAAGAATTTTGTTTTTACCATGGATTTTTAGATCAGAACTTCATTTAGATTTTGCGGTTTGTTAGAATAGTTATTATATGTTATTTATTGTAATGAAGGAAGACTTAGAGATTTTTTAGGATTACCATATGTATTACAATGCCAGTGGTACATATAACATAATACACCTTGAGTTGTAGCTAAAAAGAGATTAACTAATGTGTTTCGTATTTAAAACAGTTTAAATGGGATTATCTTAAGTTAAACAACATCAGTGGTACTTGTTAATTAGCAGACGTTAGACGGTTTAAAACACAACAATTATTTGATCTACTTTAGTAACTTTGGGTTGCAGTTGAAAAGAGATTTAATAGTTCCGTGTTTAAAACAGTTTAAATGGGATTATCTTAAGTTAAACAACATCAGTGGTACTTGTTAATTAACAGACGTTAGACGGTTTAAAACACGACATATATTTTTGATCTATGTACTTTAGTAACTTTTTGGGTTGCAGTTGACCAGAGATTTAATAGTTTCGTGTTTAAAACAGTTTAAATAGGATTATCACAACTTATACTACGTCAGTGGTACTTATTAATTAACAGACTTTAGACGGTTTAAAACACGACAATTATTTGATCTACCTTAGTAACCTTGTTCAGTTAAACAGAGATTCAATAGTTTTGTGTTTAAAACAGTTTTAATAGGATTACCTAAAGTACTACAACGCCGTAGTGGTACATATAAATTAACACACTTTAAACGGTTTAAAAACGAATTATTTTGGTGACCTTGACTTCTAGTAGTTTTGGGTTTAAAACAGTGTAATGGGATTACCTAAAGTATTTCAACATCGTTGCGATGGTACTAATGTAACACTTAATGGTTTAAATATTATGTTTGACCTACTTTAGTAGTTTTAGGTTCCAGTTGAATCACGAGACCTTTTTAACTAATGTTTTGTGCCTCCAAACATTGTTTGATACGTAGTGAGGTCTAAGACCACCCCCCCTCCCCCTTCTCAACATCACGTGTATTTTTAGTACCTACAAAGAATCTTAAAATTTTCTGAATATTATCTTAATTTAAATATAGGTACAAACTATAATCTTATTTTATTCTGAAATTAAGGACCATAATAAAAATGTCTACAGCATTTGTTTAAAAATCGCGCGTTTGACGAAAAAATAAATACACGAGATATCTTACTACACCCCCCCCCCCCCCCCCCCTTGTGTTATTTTCGTGATTTTTATCAAACCCCCCCCCCCCCCCTTTTCAAGCCTCACGTGATAAATGGACAACCCCTTACGAGAAACCTCTCTCTAATGTCGATTTTGTTAAGTACTTTCATTTTGAGTGCGATCAAAATACGTAGATTTTAAATGTAGTAATGATAGTCAAGTTTTAAAATGAGTTGATACTATTGGATAGTGTAAGGTGGACCCTGAAAGGTATATTGGGATCGGAAATTGTATGCTTTTCTCATATCCTATAAAGTTTGCAAGTGTATTTGTGTTTTCTTGAGAAATCCTTTAATCATATTGTATCGTTCAGTGTTAATTCTAATTACATGTCCATCGAAATAACGATTGTTGTTTACGCGAGTAGTGCACATTTAAATAAGACACTTTAACGGTTTAAAACTCGATGTATACTTAAATATTGTCTATAGTTTACGCGAGTAGTACACATTTAAATAAAACACTTTAACGGTTTAAAACGCGATGCTTTGCAGCAGCCGTGACCACGGCATCAGAGCCGCCGGCCGAAGTTAAAAATCATTTTTAAATAAGTTTACCTAATATATCGCGTTTTAAATCGTTAAAGTGTTTTATTTAAATCGATGTATACTAGTTAAACTTATTTGAAGACCCTCCGTGACCACGGCTGCTGCAAGGCGAAAAATGGTCGGGCAGTAGTTAAGATAATTTTCAAATAAGTTAAAGTAATATATCGAGTTATAAACCGTTGAAGTGTTTATTTAAATGTGTACTACTCACGTAAACTATAGACACTATTTAGCACTTTAACGGTTTAAAACGCGTTGTAATACTAATAATAATAATAAAACACTTTATTGCACAAACAAATATAATACAGATATAGTAAAACTAAAATAATTATTTACAAAAAAGTTGTATATATTAGTCGAACTTATTTGGAGATGGAAGGAGACGGCCCGATATTTCACCTTGCTTAAAATAATCTCCAATTAAGTTTAACTGGTACATGTCGCGTTTTAAACCGTTAAAATTTTTTATTTAAACTTTAAATGATATTTTTAATCCATTCTCTCTCTATGCAATATATGGAGCTAAGGTAAAAACAATGTTTGGAAGATGCATGTTTTGTTTTAGTTAGATGCTTAGTAGAGTGTTTTTTTTTAATATTTTGTTGTAGTTACGTGTATACAGTTTGTTAGTTGGTTATTCTGTTGGCACATCGTTTATATATATATATATTTTAAACATGGTATTTTATTAATAGACTGATTTTTTTTTCACAGAATTGTCCATTCCACAATTTAATGACTATAGTTGTTCATAATTCACGATCACATGACTTGTGGAATGTTTAAAGTTTTCAGTTGGCTTTAGTGGAGGAAGCGTTTTTTCTTGTTTTCCGTTTTGTTTTTCAATATTGGTTTTTTAATCAATTTACCAGTATATAGTAATGGGATGATAAACAATTAAATTTACTACTGTTTTTTTATTTAATACTGTGCCAAAGTTCTTAACATGTTAATATGTTTTACAGGTCTACTCCGCTACAAGGTGGATTTCCAATCGATGCAGCTGGACGACGAGGAAATAGACAATTTGTACGACATCGACGACTACTAGGCAATGCACACGTCAGTCACATCCCTAGAAAGAACCGAATGTTCGGTTAAAAAGTTAACTCTAAAACTCAGGAATGTGATTTGAGAACGTAACGATTGGGCGATCGGACGAATGCTAGTGATGTGGGAAAATTCAAAATAGACGTCGTCTTATATTGAGAATAGTAATTATAAAATACACGAATTAATCAGTCGTAATTCAATTGTATATATCTGTTTTCAGACACGCCTCGCTATTTTGGTCTTGTATAATGCGGGCGCCGTTGATTTTAAATAGGATATTTGACTATTAGAAATGTTTTGTTTATTTACGTAATAAAATAAATTAGTCCGCAATGTCTTCAGTGTTTTACTAAAAAAAACCGTTGAAGTTTGTGTTTTACGTGACAAAAAACTCATGCCGTGTGGCAATTTTTACAGGCTAGTGACGTCACCAATATGGCGTCTGTATTGGTGTGAGTTTAAAATCACGTGATCAAACAATTTGTATATATAGTCAAATATACCTAATACGGCGAGGCGAAATAGCAATAATTTTTCGTTTATCTTTTTTTTTATTTCAAAGCTACAATCAATACGTTCTAGCCAAAATGAACTTATGTACAGTCTGTAGTTTACGCGAGTACGCATTGAAATAAAACGGTTTAAAACGCGAAATGTATTATTTCACTTATTTAGAATTGATTTTAACTATGGCTTCACAACAGCCATGGTAGTGGGAGGGGGGATTATAAGTTAATTTCGCGTATTGAACCGTTAAGTGTTTTAATTTAATATGAACTTCTCTTAAGGGGATTACCCTTTGGCGTTTAGACGTTTGTGTTATTGTACCCAAAACAGTGCCTAAGCTGAATATTCCCATTTCAATTGAAGGAAAATCGATTGTCTATGGTTCCGCCCTTTCCGTTTTCCTTATCTGTTTTATAAATGAGGTCAGAACGCGTAGATGCAACACGACGGAAGTGTGACAGATTTTTCGTCTTATTTGGTCTTGAGCTAGACCTTAATTCAATTTTAACACGTAGCATCGATGTTTTAATAAATGACGGGTTTTTCTAATGGTAGCGAGGATGAACGGGTCGCGAGTTCGATACCCACTTGGTCAAACATTTAACAATTTATACTTATTCTGAAACATATTGGACTTCTTCTGGAAATTTGGATATTAGGTGGAAGGAGTATCGGAATTCCATCTGTCCACTGTCCAGATGAGAAAGCCTCTTAAGTTCCGTTTTCCGCCTGGATTTAAGTGCTTACCTGTCTGCCACTATAAAAAATCGTATTTATTTTTAATCTGCTCTAAAGTAGATTTGCATAAACTTGGAATGAGGATATGTATATAAACAGAGTTTTGGCTCTAGATGCGCAGGAGTCGTAATTTCGGTCAAGTGTTGCGTTTTCGCGTTTCTGTATTATGATTCTTTTTATGTTATATTTAACTAGGAAATTGTCACACGCTTCATTTTCACGAATTATATATATATTTTATCGTGCTGTATGGAAATATTTAAAATTTGCGCTCAAATATAAAACGTTGTTGGAGTTCTGCGTTTTATTTGTGGCCTGAACACCTCGACACCTGGACTTTCCGTTCCACAACAATACTAAACATACTACCACATGTTTGCTTATGTATTTTTATAACCTGCATCTTTTCTATATAAATAAAAATAAATCTTTTTTTTCCTAAAAAGATGATGGCTATTGTAGAAGATTGTCACCTACCATCGATCCTAATACATATAGTTATAGTTTAATATTGAAATACTATTTTTTTGTTAGTGTGTTGAGGATCAACTCAAAATTGAAAATAGCGCCATCTCGTAGCAACGATATAAAACCCTAGTTTCAAAGAGTGGCTTTACGTTACGTTAACTGCGATTAGAAAAACATGAATTTAGTATTGTCTGAAGTTAATCAAGTTAACTAATATATTTCCTATTTTCAAACGGTTTAAAAGGATTTTTTTTATACACGAATTCATTAACAATTTCAGTAAATATCGTTAGAAAATCTTTGGCTATTGTATCTTATTGTAAAATATTTAAACAATTAAAAATTGTCATGTAATAACAAAATGTACGCAGAAGTTTCCTTACGAGTTACGCAACATAGTAACGCCATCTCTTAGCAACGATATAAAACTAAACAAAAGTTTTAAGTTTACTCGAGTAGTACACATTTAAATTTTTTTTTTTCATTTAAAGAGAAATCAATAAATAAAACACTTTATCGGTTTAAAACGCTATTATATATTAAATACGACTGCTTACATAATTCAAATAAATTAACTAAAATATTTCGCATTTTAAAAATAGTTTAAAGTGTTTTATACAAGATTTACAAGGATTAAGATTTTATAATTTATATTCGAAAATTTAATATCCATCTAGACAAAAAAATATCTATAATAATAGAAACAAAGTTACAGCGGGAAATGTGAACAAAACGGGAGAAAGTTTCATCTCTGCAGGCTTCAGATGCGTACGCTGCGAAAACGGCTTAAGACACCCAAAAAATATGTATGTTAGAATAATTTCTCTTTAAATGATCTAAAAAAAGACCGCGACACTATATTTTAAGATTAACTTGCAAGAACCACGGGTCTGGAGCGATGGGCCGCGACTGATGTCGTGGACAGATTAAAATAATAAAGAGGCTTGCAAAAATAAATTTGGGTGGGACGAAGTTTATATATATATATAAACTTATATATGGCCTACAAAATTCTGTTTAACAACCTTATATAATTTCGACTGTCGCCAAAATATGTTGTCCCGGTATCTCAATTGGTTAACGCAACAGCTCCTTGTCCGTACGTAGTAAATTTTTTAACAATCAAAATAAATGTTTGATAAACACAATAGTATAAATAAAACACTTTAATGGTTAAACGCAATACATTTTAGTTAAACTTGTTTGAAAATTATTTTTAACTACGGCCCGGCGTTTCGGATGCTTTGCTTGACCACGGCTGCTGCAAATCATTCGAAACGTCGGTTTAACTAGAACACTAGTCGCGTTTTAAACCGTTAATGTGTTTTATGTGAACTACTCGCGTAAACTGCAGACAGTATTTAGGATAAAAGTATTTTTCTTTTAGCCTACATTATCAATTTTTCAATCCTTGACATTTCCTACAAAAAAAAAGTTCACGCTTCGAAACTTGTTGATTGACGTCACACATTGTGGTCACTATATAAATACAGTTATGTAATTTTATGCAAGTTTCCGCCGAAAGACGTGGAAATTTTTAACACTTTTTTTTATGAATAACTAGCTGAGTCAGCGACTTCGTCCGCGAAGAACAGTTACTTTGGGCATCCAAATGGGGTTTCGCAAAACTTCCCTTCATCTTTAAAGATTTAAGCCCACGACGTTGGCCACGTCGCGTCGTTCTTGTACCGCTGTACGTTTATCTTAAAAGATAGACATATAGCGCCGCGGACTTTTTTTAGATTATTTAAAAAGGAATCATTACTTCATACAACTTAAACCCTTTTCACAGCGTACCTATTTGTCGCAGCTCGATCTTTTATAACCAAAAGCCTACCTCAATAAATGCTCTAAGCAACACAAATATTTTTCAATCCGGACCAGTAGTTCCTGAGATTAGCGCGTTCAAACAAACAAACTCTTCAGCTTTATCTTCGTATAGATTTGTTTCAAGGCATTAACTATTCATACGTTCGGCTAGACCAATGGTGCCCCTAGTGGGGCACTGACCTCGTCTTGGAATGCAATGTGGGTGTGGGGCTGAAGATCTGAACGAATGTTTACCCAGGTGAAGTATACAATATCTCTACCGGCTTTGGTAACGTCGGAGTCAGTTATGACGTCGCAGTCTCCTTGAACGTGGGTTGTATAACGGTTGGTGTTTGCAAGATAAAAGCAAGTGACTTTTAAAAGATAGACATGTACTGTCGGGAACACTTTTTACGTCATTTAAAGAGGAATGATTCTTACTTGAACCGTAACAACGCACGCAACAGAAGCCCTCAAAGATGAATCATTTTACCAGTTTTCACACATTTTCCACTGTTGGCGCCTATTGGTCTGAGATTATTCCGTTTAAACAAACTCTTCAGGTTAATTAAATACTGTCTATAGTTTACGCGAGTAGTACACATTTAAATAAAACACTTTAACGGTTTAAAACGCGAAATATTAGTTAAACTTATTTAAAAATGATTTTTAACATCGGCCCGACGTTTTGGATGCTTTGCAGCAGCCGTGGTCACGGGGAGACTTTTCAAATAAGTTTAACTAATATATCGCGTTTTAAACCGTTAAAGTGTTTTATTTAAACTCTTCAGGTTTATAATGTTAGTAGAGTTTTTTTTTATGGCAGTGTAGGACAGAGAAGTATGGGGATTCACTTGACATACCCCAGCTATAAAACACCCAAGCTGTAGACCTATTTTGGCTTTGGATATTCTGACATCCACAGACAGAAATTGAAACGCGATTCACCTTCACGGCTTTTTCGTCTGTGGACGGTGGTTCGTGATGCAAGAAACTTCGTTTTTAATTACCATGTGAACCCCAACGTCTTAAAAACATTCTTTACGTGCAGGAAGCATTTGCTGTTTTTTTAATATATATTAATGTTTTTATGTGATTTACGCTGGCGGAACAGCAAAGAAACGAAAAAAAATTACAACGGCAAAACAAATGCAAATAATATTCTCACAAAAATACGACCTTTAATGCACAATAAAACCAAATAGATAATTACTACGCAAAATAATAAAACAATTGTTCGTTATTTTGCATCAGGGACTACGTCGGCGTGGTTATTTTGGGCATCCCTGTTTGTTTTTCCAAACCTCTTCATCTTACCCGTGACGTCGGTCGTGTCCCGTCGTTCTTGCATGTTAAGTTTATAAGATGGATACTTATTGTGTCGCGGACATTTTTTTAGATCATTGATAGAGGAATCATTATTTATTACATTTTTTTTTGTTATCTTGAACCGTTTTCGCAGAGTTTACACATCCG